ATTGGGGGGAGGCAACCAAAAAAGAACAAAAATTTTAGTATATTATACACATACTGTGGGAAAATAGAGGGGGACAGTGGATGCAACGTGCTGGGATGAACAGTTAGTTGTAAATAGGGAGGGCAGGTAAGGCCTCATGAAAGAGACAACATGAGAAACTGCCCTTGAAGGGAAGGGGGTGAGCCATGAGATCTTCTGGAAGAAAGCTGGTCCTAGGACAAAGCAGAGTAAGCAAATGGAAGGAGACTGAGAAAGAGGTCAGGGAGCATAGGCTGGACCATGTCGGACCTTGTGGTCCACTAGAAGGACTTCTGCTTTCTCTCTGAGTGAGAGGGGAAGCTGCTGAAAGGTTTTGAACAGAGAAGTGAGATGCAATGACACATTAAAAAGATTCCAGGTGATGGTGCAGCAGACCTCACCTGACTCACCCACTGCTCCCCTCAGCAGTGTATTTTAGTCAAACTACCTGTTCTGTTGCCCACCCTGTCTCTGGTAAATCCTAACACCCCCTGCACCTTTGGCCTGTACCCCAATTCTTGTATGCATAAATAAATAAATCTTTTAAAAAAGAAAAAAAAAAAAAAAGATTCCAGGTGACTACTGAATTGATTATAGCTGGGGGAGGAGCGGAGTGTGTCAAGGAGGCCATTATGTCATTGCAATAATGCAGGTAAGACAGTCATAAAAAAGAACAAAGTGAAGGAACAGGCAGAATTACACCTAAACAAACCCTTGAAATCTGTAGCACTGAGGCTACTTGAGTGGGAGGGGACCCTATGGACTCTGGTGGAGGACTAGTGTACTCTGATGGTGAGTGGGGTGTGGTGACATACATCTGAAAACGGGTGAACCTATACCCCTAAATCACATACAGTGCTGAAAACCCATGTCACCTCAATGAGAAAAAACAATTTAGGGCCTCCCTGGTGGCACAGGTGGTTGAGCGCCACACTGTGAAGCTGTCCGCAGCCTCTACAGCAACAGTTCGATCCCAGCTGGTGGGCAAAGCAGACCTCTCCTGTCTTGCCCGCTGCTCCACTCAGCAGTGTATTTCATCAGTCTGCCTGTTCTATTCCCTGCTCTGTCTCTGGTGAATCCTCTCACCCTCTCCTGCATCTAGCCTGTACCCCGGTTCTTGGATAAATACATAAATCCTTAAAAAATGCAATTTAAAAAAAATAAAAGGTGTGGTCAACCCGAAGATGCTAATAAGCATCTTGCCCAAGCTCACCTAACTAACAAGTGGTAGGACTGGGGTTTGACAAAGACAGATAGCAGCCACTACTGGATGCACTCTTGACATGCTTCCATGTGGACAAAGTCAGGAAGCAAACATGAAAGTTCCTATTTTTGAAGAAGTCACTTACAAAGACACATGTATTGTACCCTATCACTCAATCTTTAGCCTCTATGGCAATGGGCTTCTCTTCTTTCTGGACCTGTCTTCTAAGTGTCCACATAATGCTCACGAACATTGGATGCAGAAATAGAGAAGGCAAGGATGACCCCATGATGTTCAGTATGGAGAATGAAAGTTGTCACTGATGATGACGTGGAAGACAAGTTTCGGGGGGATGATCAGGAAATTGAGATGACAGTTGGGCAATTAATACAGGGATGTGAGTAGTTTGTCCTGAGTGCCCCAGATGATGTGATCGTAAAATTTAAATATTTTGATTGCCACAAGTTGGTTCAATATTCTGAATATTACTTTTTTAAAAAGATTTATTTATTTATACAAGAACCGGGGTACAGGCCAGAGGTGCGGGAGGTGAGAGGACTCACCAGAGACAGAGTGGGGAACAGAACAGGCAGACTGAAGAAATACACTGCTGAGGGGAGCAGCAGGCAAGACAGGAGAGGTCTGCTCTGCTGTGTGGTAGCTATGTGGGTAGCTCCCTGGCCAGGGATCGAACTTGTGCTTTAGTGGTTGGCGATAGCTTGATAGCTCTGAGACTTAAACCCCTGCATCCCCAGGGAGGCCCCTCTGATTTCTTACATGTGGGTGTGCATGTGCACACATGCACGTGCATATGTAAGTATACACTTATTTCATCAGAAGCAGGGACCTCTGCTTATTTTCATTTGGAACCTATTCAGGATCGAGTGCCTAGTGATGATGCATTAGTGATTCACAGTCCTTTCCCTGTGGTTGCATTATTTACTGCATAAATGAGTTGATTTGATGGCCTTCTCTTTAAGGTTTTGCTACTTTTATCTCAGTTCTTACATGCATTATCCTAGGCAGAGAACAGTATTATCTATACACTACAAATGTGGAAATCGATCCTCAGTGGCCATAAGCATCTTCCCAAAGTCACAAGTACTGGAACAGCAGAGCAGACAGGAATCTGGATGAGCTGGTGAAAGTCAGATCTTTTCATGGTCACTGGCTGCTTTCTACAAGCCAGATGGCACATTCACTCCAGTGTTCATGCAGATAAATTCCGGGAGCAAATGAAGTTTTTCAAGCCTCATTCTAAAAGGAAAAAAGCTAGGTTTTTCTTTCCTGCCACATATGCCTCCAAGCATTCATAGAAATGTGAAGACCTCTCTGGGCCTAATTTTATAGAAAATAATCATCCATTCAAATGATAGTTATAAACCAGTGACCGGTAATTCCTTGGTCTTTTCCTTCACTGTATTTCTCTTCATTAATTATTTTCTTCTATGTGGTATCCTAGTCATTTGAGAAGTGAGCACACTTCAAAACTGCTTTGGAAATACGAAGTGACATGTGTGTTTCTCTGAGTTATTGAAGCTGGTAAAGTAAGACTTCCCCTGAAACAGAGCTTGGCTAAAAGCCAGTCTCGTGAAGCAAACAGCACATGTGAGGATGTGGAGGTGAGACAGAGAGGGTGTATGTCACAGAAAATATCCAGTTTATTCTTAGGAGGGGCCTAGTGCAAGTTCCTTTTTCTCAAACCCAAGTTGGGGCTCTCCAGAGAGTTACTGTTTATTCATAAATCACATGGCTCTTTAGAGCTAATAGAAAATATGTTTATGTTAAGCTGCATGGCAGAAGAGGCAAAGGAAATGTAATGAAAAAAAATGCTAAGGTATAGAATTTCCAGTCAACAGAGCCATCATACCATGATGGGCTCAACACAGTCTCTACACCAGGACCCCAAAAGTCATAGTGCCAAGGAGAGTGCTTCCTGGTAAGAGGACGTTCTTTCAAATCACTTCTCTAGGCCAATGTTATGTCATCCACTGGGTTACTATTACCGAATACACAGATGAGGCTGCCATGAACTAAACCATAACTATGTAATTATGGGGTGTGTGTGTGTGTGTGTGTGTATGTATGTAAGAAAAATATTCTTACAATGTATTTTTTTCTTTTCTGATGAGCAGATTTTAGTGTTAATGGAGTGTGAATCTTCAGGAAATCTCTTTTATATTCTCTAAAATCAGATCATCTGTGAGTCATCACTTTTACTTTTGGGACTCTGAACAATTTGATTCCCACCTGTATTTTTTGGATATTGCTTAAGGAAACATCACTCCATTTCACTCAAGCATACCTTCAAACAGACCAAGGAACCAGCAGAAAGTAAACAGACACACACACCCTTCCTTAATAAAAACTCTAAATTTAGTATATAGCTGTTGATCAGTTTACTCATTCAGCACAATGTGTTGGACACATGGTCTGAGCTGCGGTACTGTGGATAGACGTGAATACACAACACGTAGAGAAACAAGTCATAATGCCAGCTGAGAGGTCAGTGGAGACACTTACAGGAGGTCAGAAGAGGTCGGGCAAAAGTGGCACTTCCAAAGACCCCCTGATGACCAAGTTGGGTTTTGGGGCTCAGGGAGGGCACTTTTTCAAAGGGAGAAAACAGCATGTATTAGGACACATGAGTCATTTCAGTACACACAAGGAATTCAGTTTGCCTGAGGCACTGGGAATTGGGGAGAGGCAGAAGACACAGAAAGAGGAGGACCAAAGCTTGGACACCCCCATTTAGTGACCTTATAAATAATTTGAATTTTATGAGATTTAGGATTTATTCTCCACAGATGTGGCTGTCTCATGTGACAGTATAACGGAAATGTAAATTAAATGATTGGCCACAATTCTTTCTCGTCTCCTTTCAGCCACACCTTCCTTCCTTTTTCTGTGCTTGCCTATTTGCCTCCCTCTCTCCCAAGGGTTTTCTGCTCTACAGCATCCCAGGATGTAGTTTAACTGCACTACCTACTGCTGTCTCAGTGCCTTGTAAAATAACAAGAGTAAATGAATTAAAGCTAAAATGCTAGTAGTGTAAGATATATTTCATTTCCAACAAGTCATGGAGAAAATCTGGAGCTGACCACAAAAAAACACAATCATAAACTTGAGAACCAAGTTTAAACTTCGGCCAACAGAGAAGAGTGAATTGGCAAATAATGCCCATTTTCATTGTAAGGAGTTATTTTCTCTTTCAGTCCCTAAGAATGAGTAGCACTTCTAGAATTATGAATGACTCACTAAGTTCTCAAGGCGAAGCTCAGATTATAAGGCACTGCCAGAAAATCTTGCCTTTGGGGAATCAAGGAACTCTGCTGTCAAAAAGTCATCAGTTACTTAATTGCTCTGGGAAGTACAATAAAGTTATGATAGGTAGACTACTGAAGAAAGATATGCTTTTGTCCAGGCTTTCTGTGGTAACTTCCTCCTGCAGTGGGAGAAACTACCAGTAAAGGAAGAATGACAATTTACATACCATAGTAAGGTTAATCTGCCTGTCTTAGTCACGGGCTACTTGAGAAATCCTGGGAAATCCCTATTTGGAAGAGAAGAAAAATTAAAGCCACGGTTGCTGTGCTCATAATCTTATTCTGTGTAATTCACATACAGAGTTACTTCTGTTCCTTCTTAATGAAAAATTATTGCTGTTAACCCTTGTGTGGTCTTCAAAATTTGGTGTATTTCGTATTTCGTCTTACCCTAAAAAGAAACCATCGGAAACATCTCTCTCTCTCTCTTTTTTTTTTTCCTGCTTTCCAAGATTCCAGGAAAAACTGCTTGCATGGCACACAGTGTACAGGATACGAGTAGAATGAAAGCTGCAAAAAGTGCTACAGAGGTTGCAGAGGTAAGAACACATGTTCTAGGGGAGGAATTGGCCACAGCTAGCACTATGGCACTTCTCATGGTTAACTAGGCAGTGATTAATAAGAGCAGAATTGACCAGCTTGCTTTCTTTAGCTATGATCTGCTCTATAATTTTAACCAGTGTTATTTAACAAAGAAAAGGTATCTGGGTGGTCACTGCCTTTCCACTGACCTCTCTAAGCTGTTTCTTCTTTTACCAAGTGAGATTATATCCTGTCCAAATTCCTTTAAGCTCCCCAACTCTATGGGCTTCATATTCTGCTCTTGATTTAGAGAAATGTGCTTCAATGTAAGATTAAGAAAGAATAATATGTTGATGAGATGATCAATAGAAGACATTGTAACAGTAGTCCATAGTAAAATAATTTTGTATACACAATACCAAAGTATTTGTTCAATTACTGTTTACTGCTACAGATTCTTCCTAACTGAATAAATTAATGTGCTTTATAAAAGTTGTTTTTTAGATAACCAAGGCATATATATAAGAAACTTAATGAAACTCTTTCATTCATTTAGATATTTCATTTGAGTCAGAATCTTAATATCTTAGTTGTCACTCTGTGTGATATGAGAAAGAAATAGCCAGATAATTTAAACACAGATTACACTTAAGAATAATTGATCTGTAAGTTCTGGCTTGATGATAAATCTTTGAATTTATAGCAATAATAGATGCCTTCATTAGTGACTGTGAAAGGCAAGCAAATACAAATGAAAAAAAAAAAGTCCCTCTAAAACGTTGTGTTTGATTTTGCTTCACTTGAATATACACTTGTGATATGAACCCTGGTAAAATGTTGATTAATCTCCAGAGAAATTCCTGGTGACATATAGATGGCTTAACAAACTATTCCTATACTTTCCTCTCTCTTGCAGATTTAGTCTAGCTTTTAAATATTTGCCATTATAAAATAAAAATCAAGGGTCAAATTATTTAAATTTTTTCAGATAAAATTATGTAAGGCCAAGAAAATACACATCTAATTACTCTTAGTCCAGGTTATCAGAAAGCAGGGTCATACGAATGTCTGCTGGGTAGTTTTTTTTTGGGTCTATATTACAAATAGAAAGGAGGTTTTTTAGAACACTGAATTTGTGTTCCAAAGCATAGTGTGAAATGGGAGAGGCTTGAAGTTTAGTATGAATCATGATATCCCATGAAAGTTATTAAAAGCAGAGTTGAGGTGAGTAGGTAAGCACAAAGGATATTTAGGGCAGTGAGACTATTCTGTATGATATAGTAACTATGGATATATGTCATTATGCATTTGTCCAAACCCCTAGAGAGGCCACCGAGACTGAACCTTAATGTAAACTACCAGTTTGGGTGACAAAGGCCATGCAGGCTGTTGTAAAGGTTCCACCCTGGTGGGGGATGCTGATAACTGGAAGACTACCTATGTGAGGGTGCAGAGGGTATATGGGGAGTCTTGGTACGTTCCCCTCAATTTTGCAGTGAACCTAAAACTGCTTTAAAAAATAAAATTTATTACAGAGAACATAGAGGTGCTATGGCATTTTCTCAGAAATTCTGATTCAGGTTCAGAAATTCTGTGCTAAATTTAGTAAGCTCCCACATGTCTGTGATGTGCTTCTGTGGTGAGACCACTGGGCTAGAATCCAGTGTCGTTACGCTTCTGCTTTGCTGAGTTCAGAGCACACAAAGTAGGGCAGGTACCACATTTCCAGATAAAAGCTGTCTAATATTTAGTCTGTTCTGAACCACAGTGGGTTCTTCAAAATCTTCCTAAAAAGGGGGAAACCCAGTTCAGAAGCCAATGCGATCACTTGTAATTGACTGACCGATGGAGCACTGTCTCTTAAAACGTGATCTTAATTACACACGGGTCTGAATAGGAAGAAGCTAAGACAACTAAGAACAGCATCAATAGAGATGTAAAGTATCCTCAAACCCTAAAATGTTGCGACATAGGTAAGTAGAGAGCAAAATAGTTTTATAAATCATTTAATTAAAAAAAAAAGTCTTGAAATCCCATGATATTGCCAAAGAGCATTTCCTGTAAACGTTTCTGGCAAAGACCAACATGTTTTGAAAATATTCCTTAATTGTTGGTGAATCTCTTTAAGCAATTTCATGATCCACAATAATTACTGAACCTAAAACTGAACAGCAGAGCTGGGGACGACCCTCATCACTGGATTCATTACATTACTTATGTGACTCAGAGATGACAGAGGAACAAGACTATTGAGTTAGAAGGGGAAATAGCACTTAAATGAGCTTTGTTGGTGGTCGATTTAGACAGAGCGGAGGCAGTTTCCAGAATTGCTGGGTTTGATTTCAATGAACACCCCACTGCTGGGGGGAAAAATAAACTAAAAAAGGTGGTTAACTCTTATATGGTGTCAATAATGTATTATTAATACAGACTTGTAACCTAATGGTTTTATTCAAAGACTAGCTAAAATTCCACAATACAGAAAATCTTCACTCACCTCTACAATGTAATTGTATGGCGGCATTGAGGTAACTTATTTATTAACACTTAAGAATCAGTTTGCTGCCCTTTTGCAGTTTTTTTTTTTTCTTGATGTGCTATCATTCCTCTGATTTTTCCCAGGGTCACTTAAGATCATGGACACATCTATAAAAATGCTTTTTAGAAATATGTACTGTGTAAATACCTAAAGTGTATTCATGAGACTTGCCTGATTTCTATGAACACAAATTTTCATTTTTTGGGAAAAGCAGCTGAAATCCAAATTCATGAAATCCTAATTTCTTGCTGCATATAGTACAGATATATTTATAATTTATTAGAAAATTATTTTGGTAATTGATTCAGATGAAGAAATATAAAATAAAGCTTACTCATCAGCAGGTTTCTGAGGGACTAGGGGGAGAGGGTTGTCACAGCTACAATAAGACATGTCTATAAATCACAACATAAGAGTTGAATAAATGCTGGTCAGCATTTCACCTGTTTATTCTATTTCACTTTTTTTTTTTAAGTGTACTCAACCATCGAGAAGAAAGAACTTGACAGATTCTCTTGAACAAAAGATAAGGTGCTTCGAAAAGCAGAGAAAAGAGGTAATCTAGAAATATTAACGGAAGCAACTAATATTGGACTAATGCTGAGAATAAGGAGTATCTCACCTGCTGCCTTATGCTCCTTGTACAGGCTCACGTTATTGGCTTCAGGGATACTGGTCTATATTATTTTGAGAACAAATGCTTTTTTTTATTCACCTACATACCTCTTACTTGATAAGTGTTTGCCCAAATGACATCATAAATCTGATAATTAAAATCTAAATGTGCTCCATACTTAGAGTTTCCTCCACATGGACCATGTGAGATTATCACCTGTGCCCTTTGCATCCCTACAATTTGACACACCTTGAAACTCAAACTGTCAAAGGCTTTTAAGTACAGTTGACTTAGGTGCTATAAGCTCATGAGTTAGGCATCCAGAAGGTTAAGGAGCAAAGAAAAATGTTAGTTTCCACAAGGTTTGTTTCTACAATTTGGGATTACGATGGCTATGACTTCAAGTTCTGTTTTTTTCTGAGTTGAATGAATATTAGAACCTCTTTTTTCTTCTTGACAGAGGAAGAAGTGACAAGTGGAACAATTTTAGCACTGTGTATGCTGTCAATTTTGTAATTCCTTTCCTAAGCCATTCTACAAAGAACATTGTTCACTTTCTCTTCTGTAGTGTCTACTCCCCCTCTTTGATACTGCATAAAATGGCAGGCCCTTCTGGAAAATCCCTGAACTATAGCAGAGTAATGATACCATAGCATAGAAATGATAACCCCCCAAATGCTAACAAATGAGGTATCTTTACATAACATCATATAGTCTAATACTAACTTCTCATATCTGTTTCCAGCCCAAGTTACCTAAAACCGGCATGCTTATTTGCTAATTAGGAGAAAGTCCTCCTAGATTTTGTCACTGTGACTCTCTTCTCGATGTCTGTCCCATATTGATATGTGTTGGAATTTCTTTCAGTGTAGGAATTTGTAGACTTCCCTTCTAAGAAAACTAAAACACAGGTCATACTGCTTTTTTCCCTTCTACTTAGCACTTTGTCTTAAAACTTCAAATTGGTTGGAGCCAAAATTATGTCGCACTAATGTCTTATAACAAAACTATTCCTTGAAAATCTTTACTTTGTGAAAAGGTGGTATTAGTCATTCAATGACTACATACTACAAATTATGTGTTGTTTTTTAAAAGCATGATATTATAGGGAAAGGATGCTCTGTTAAGGGGTTTTAGAATTTGTTATCATAAATTCTGCTTTTTAAAAACTGGAAGAAATATTTCATTATGGTCAGCAATGTAAGTCTTTAGGAAAATATGGAGAAGTTTTTTAAAAACCTTCATATCTTAATAAAATCTTATAGAAAGGATATGTATAAATCTGCCAGATTCTGGTTGAACAAAGAAGATAAAAATTAAAATAAGTGAAAAGTTACTGATAAACTATTTAGCCTACTAACCAAGTCCTACCTGAGACTCGCTAGCTTTTCATATGTGAACCAGTTATGAAAATGTGAGAGTGTGCTCCATTAAATCATCCCAGCCCAACCAGAACTTGGCGGAAGACATACTGTCTTCTCCATGGCCCCCCTACTTAAGATACTTCAAATGTGGTTTAATTTTGGCCAAACTCCTGAATGGACAGAGATCCTTGATTGATTTGCTACATTTTAACATTTCCAGCTCCTGGAAGTGAACCAGCAATGGGACCAGCAATTTAGAACTATGAAAGAGTCCTATGAAAGACAGGTAAAGACCTTTCTCCTGTGGTATTTGTTGAAGTCAATGATGTGGGCGGGTCAAGCATGGGAAGATTCTCATTGATTTCACATGAAGGAGATTTGTGGGGTGTCAGCTGTTGAAATAATGGGGGAGAGGGTACCAAGTGCATTATAGGCCTATTGCTTTGAAGATTAATGAATAACATCTGAATTGTCTTGAGCCTGGCAAAAGGGCACTAAAGGGCCTCCCTGGTGGTGCAGCAGGTTGAACACAGTGCTGTGAAGCTGTCCACAGCCACTGCAGTGCTGGTTCGATTCCTGGCCAGGCAGGGCGATTCCCACATGGAGGAGCAGACCTCTCCTGCCACGCCCACTGCTCCCCTCAGCAGTGTACTTTGGTCCTTCTGCCTGTTCTGCTCCCTGTTCTGTCTCTGGTGAATTCTCTCACCCTCCCACGCCTCTGGCCTGTACCCCAGTGCTTGTATAAATAAATAAAATCTTTTTTTTTTTAAAAAAAAAAAGGCACTACAGAGAGCCTCCAGAGAGAGTTCTAGTCTTTCTACGTACATTTATCAAAGCTGACAGAGTAGCCTGGGCTTGGCTTCCTTGCACACAGCCGTAAGTACGCAGGTATATGTGAGCTGACACATGGTTTAAAGTTCATGCTATTTTTATGCAAAACTAGGTTTCTCATCTTTCAATGAGGTAGCAAAAACCATTTTCCACAGATAAAGAAACAAACAGTGGTGACAGTGAAAGTGTGAGGGAAAGTGGGGACATCCCCTCTTCTCTCTGAAGTTCTCTGTCCAGAAGCGTTGGCTTTGGTGACAAAGGCATTTTTTTAGAGACGATATGTTTTAATAGATAAATGTTCTGTTTGTGACTTAAAATCATTCCATGTTCAAAAAGAGAGGAAATAAAAGTAAATCCCCCTGTGTAATTCCGAATTAAGAAACCTGACCACAAATGAGGAATACAGGGTATTGCTCTTTACTTCCCCATTTTGATACTTAGAAGGACTAAATTTAGGCAATGCAGGATACTATTTCCTCTACACCAGGCCACAGTCCCTGTCACCTTGTGATTTTTCAATCTGGTGTAGCCTTGGGGTTTCCAAACTGTAAAGACTGGGGGCACGAGCACAGATGCAAAAGCAGGGCTCCATCCCCTGCACCTGGCGCGTTCACAGGGTGTGTCATTCTCATCTCTGGTGATGCACCATTGCCACAGCTTCTAGACCATTCCTCAGTCTAATCTGCCATCTAGTAGCAGGTCAGCGGGTTCACAGGGTGTGTCATTCTCATCTCTGGTGATGCACCATTGCCACAGCTTCTAGACCATTCCTCAGTCTAATCTGCCCTCTAGTAGTAGGTCAAGCACTGCAGGTTACTGAGGAGTGAAAGACCAAGTGTGTTTGCTCTGGGGTGGAAACATTCACTGATACTGTACCCCCAAATCCCCATCCCTCCCCCCCAGCCCCTTGTAGATCAGGCAAGGCTAATGAGAGTGGAGAATAGAAAGACCAGCTTAGTGCAAGGTCCAAGTCTTTATTCTGCCTCAAAGGGTGCGATTTGGAGAAAAGAGGGAGGAACTGGAGGCCTCCAGGTGTTCCTTGGGCTGCTAAGGGGAAGCACCTTTTTTATTTATTATTATTATTTTTTTAATTTTACACATTTTTACATCATTTTTCATTTTTGCACAATGGAAGCACCTTTTTAAATTCAAATATTCTGATCTGTGCGAGACCCTCAGGAAGTGGGGCGTTTCTGAAGAGGTCTACAATTGTCTGCTCATGACTTCCTCAGGTGGCGGAGCTGAAAATGAAACTGGATGCCTCGGAAAGATCACTCAGCACCATGAAGAAGGAGCAGCAACAGCTGAAGAAGGAGTATCAACAGTGGCAGAGAGAGAGCACCCGAAAGAATGACCTGACCATGGAGATTCTGCATCGCAAAGTGGTGGGTGGTGTGGGGAGGGCGGGTGGCTCTTGCTGGAAAGCCAGCGCTCCATTAAAATCATCTCACTGCCCAGCAATAATGTGCGAGGGGCTAGGGTTGTGCAAGTCTCCAGAGACACAGAGAGGGGTCACTTCTCTGGAATCTGAAGGAAGGAGATGCCTTTCAGCAGAGAGAACTGTTCCCAAGATTTGGTGATAACTTCCTAGGCATTTCTCTAGGAGGAGAAAAATTTTCTGCTTTTACTTTTACCCATATTTATGATTTTCATTACTAGTGTTAAGGATAATATGATACTACCTTACATTTGGACAGTTGCCTTTCAGCTGACAGAAAGCTTACAAATGAGCATGACTTTTGTAATTTTAAAGGTTAAAGTTTCATAATGCAGCACATACCATGAAGTAGGTACCATATCAGCTTACCAAGATGAACACCGAAACTTATGTGTTTTAAATAATATTTTTTAAATAATATTTTGCCCTCATTATCTGTTAACCTTGTAGCCCACCTCTGAGGAAAGCATATTTTTGCTATTTTAGAAATGAGAAAAGTGAGCTGCAGGGGGCTGGTGATTTGCTAACATTGATAACATAATGCCTGCAAAAAAGGGAACTTGAGACCTGCCTCCAGATCCTAAGCCTCAGTTAATCATTACTGTGCTGAAAAGTAGAAGGTGGCCATTGAGGTGATAAGATTCTCCTAAAACAGACTCCTGGCTTTACTTTCAGTCATTGGACTCCTGGATAATGCAGTGGGCAAAAGGGAAGAAAAACTGAGCTCTAGTGGCTTCTCATTTTTATTAAGAAAAAAAAAGACATGCAAATAGTCTCAGGTGAAGTCTTGTGACTGAAACAGCCAGGCATTGGTTGTATTTTTAAAAATGTGCAAATGTTGGGCCTCCTTGGTGGCACAAGGGGTTGAGATGCAACCTATGAAACTTTCCACAGCCATTGCAGCATGAGTTCGATCTCCAGCCAGGGAGATACCCACATGGCACAGCAGACCTCTCTTGTCTCACCCGCTGCTCCCCTCAGCAGTGTATTTCAGTCAGTCTGCCTGTTCTGCTCCCCACTCTGTCTCTGGTGAATCCTTTCACCATCTCCCAACCCTCTGGCCTGTACCTCAGTTCTTGCATGCATAAATAAATAAATCTTAAAAAAATGCACAAATGTTAAGGCATTGTGTAAAAATCACTGCTGACATTGTCATCCCAGAGTTCCCTACCTGGCTAAGGATATCTTTGTGACAGTGAGTCAGGAAAATGGGTTTGGCATTTCCCTTTCTATCATGCCTCAGTTCTGTCCCTCTTCATTCACACACTGACCATGAATCACCGCAGTTGTTTGTTGTTGTTTTTTTTTTAAAGATTTATTTATTCATACAAGAACCAGGATACAGGTCAGACATACGGGGGAGAGGGGGGGAGGTTGAGAGGATTTACCAGAGACAGAGTGGGGAACAGAACAGGCAGACTGACTGAAATACACTTGAAATACACTGCTGAGGGGAGCAGCGGGCAAGACAGGAGAGGTCTGCCATGCCATGTGGGATTCTCGACGGCCAGCTGGGATCAAACCCGCACTGCAGAGGCTGCAGACAGCCTCACAGTGCAGCACTCAACCACCTATACTACCAGGGAGGCCCTGCAGTTGTTTTTTTTTTTTTTTTCCTCATATAGTTGGTACTATTTTCTAGTTGAAATAATTTTCTCCTAAATTATGCTCATTTGACAATTATTTGGTTCGTGTTATGAAATCAGGAACTGAAACCTGGTCGAGATGGAACAGGAACCATAGTTTCTGTCCAGGGCTTTAGGACTGCAGCTTAAGACAAAAACCGAAGAAGCCTTTGACCCCTGCCTGGAGTTTGGGGAGATGTAGAGGACTTACATATATAAAGAAAATGTGGGCTAGGTCACACTCAGGTCCGCTATGCAAATTTGGCTAAAAGTCAGTCAATTTCTGATTGGTGCAATTACATAAGAAGCATGTGAAGAGTTAGGCCTGCAGTGATTGGGTGAATTTCAACCCTGGGTGGTGTGGGGCTGACCAGCTTAGTTTCACTTTCTACTTGGAGGCAGATGAAGTGGGCTGCTTGACATGCCCAGGACCTTGGATAACATCTGCAGCTGACCCTCAATAGCCAACATAGATTCCTTTTACCCAGATTCGACAGCTCCATTTTCCCTTTCTGTTTTAAAAATATCTCTTCTAAATTTTGTACAGGTATAGGCCATTTTATTTAAATACAGGCCAATAGAAATGCTTTCATTTTTTAGGAAAATGAATCCTCTAAGATAGGTTTCTTAAAAGAAACAAACTACATATAAAGAAACTAAAACACTAAAATAATAAGCTTTGACATGTACATTAGCTATTTTGTTATCTTGAATCAACTAAATTCTGGAGTATTTCTTTTACTTGGTTAACATTGCAATCTCATTAAAAGTCCAATTCATACCACACAAAGTTTACTATCTAGAAAATAATAGTAAGAGTTACAGCCTCCTTGAAGATGATCTGAAATGGAAGAGTGGTATTAGTTGGACTAGATGACCTACATTTTTTAAAAGAAATAATTACAGCAATATAGTGTTTTGAGTAATTCTCACTAGAGAAGTGTTTGATTGATCTTAAGTTCTATCCTCTTTTTCCTATCTCCAGTCCAAAATGATGCAAGATTGGGCTTTGAGATATTCAGTATGTTGGTTGCAATGATGCTATTTTCTTTCTAGGACTTTCATTTATTTTTACAGAGTCACTTATCCATTACCTATTATGAGCACTTGGCAACTAGCTGATTCTTCAGATCTATTTGATCGTTGAGAGTGAACATGGGCTCAGCGCTATCACTGCTACTGCCTGAGTTTGATCCCTGCCAGGGAGCTACCCACATGGTGCAGCAGACCTTTCCTGACTCACCCCCTGCTCCCCTCAGCAGAGTATTTCAGTACATCCACCTGTTCTGCTCCCTACTTTGTCTCTGGTGAATCCTGTCACCACTCCCCACATCTGGCACCTCTGGCCTATACCCAGTTCTTCTACACATCAATCAATCTTTAAAAAAAAAGAAAAGTGAAGACTGGGGATTGTGAGGAGCCTTTTCTGGGGCCACAAAAACTAGTTACACTAAGGATTAAGGAAAAAAAAAAAACTCCTCCTGTCCTAACCGTCTCTGCAAATAGAATTTGAAGTGAAAATGTAGCAGATCCTGTTTTTATTGTATTTCAGAAGAATTCCTATAATAATATCTTGGTATTATTTTCTTGTTCTTTACTCCAGAAGGAAAAGGGGATACTAACTGAGGAATTACAAGAGTTGAAGAAAGAGAATAAGGTTTTGAAGGAAAAAAATGCTCTTGCAGCCAAGAAGAAGGAACATTATGAATGTGAAATTAAGCGGCTCAATAAGGTATGGGGCGGGGCTAGTGGGGCGATCTGGAGAGAGGTCTCTGCACAAAGATCATTTTCCTGATTCAGCACCAAAGCTGTCCTGTGGCTCTCAGGCTAGCACAGGAGTTTCTCTGCAATTTTATAAACCACTCCTATCTACATCTTTCACCCATATTTGGCTAAGGACACTTTAGGGGATTCTAGGTCCTGCAAAGAAGTGAGAAGAAATAATAAAAGTAAAATCTTCTTTTTAGTTTGAAGAACCACATAAAGCAAGTGGGTGTTTGTCAAAATAGCGTATCTCTTGGTCAACCACAGAAGTTTCCTGAGAAAACAGACTGCTCTTTAAGATCAGCACTATGGAGCTAGGTGTGATACTAACTGCAGGGAAGTATATTAAGTGCCAACCACAAGCCTGAGAAGGCTGCCTTCGCAGAATTATCTTCACATTCACCTTTAATGGAGGGGTGGCAGAAGAGTTCTACAGGAAAATGAATGGGTTTAATGCCTCCACCTTAACTATTCAAAGGGGCCACCTCTACTCGGGTATTGTTAAAGAGTGATGATGATGATGATGATGATGTGTGTGTGTGTGTGTGTGTGTATGTGTGTGTTTAAGGACTTATTGATTAATTTGCTACCAGAAAGGATCCTTGACGTTAATCAGGGAAGAAAATGAAACCTTTGACTGTTGACTTTCTTCAAGAGCCATAGGAATATGTGTAATGCATGGCTGAGTCAGGATGGGCATCTTTCAATTTTTTTTAAAAGATTTATTAATTTATTTATCTATACAAGCACTGGGTACAGTCACAAGCGCGGGAGGGTGAGAGAATCCACTGGAGACAGAGCAGGGAACAGAACAGGCAGACTGACAAAATACACTGCTGAGGGGAGCAGCGGGGGCAGCAGGAGAGGTCCATCACGCTTTGTGGGACCCTCGCCACCAGGGATGAAACCGGCGTTGCAGAGGCTTCAGTCCAGCTCTCAACCGCTGTGCCACCAGGGAAGGCCCATCTTTCAGTACTTCTTGATAAAGGTTACAGAAATCATCTTCTAGAGTAACAGTAGGTGATTGACTGGCCTTGAAAATGTGTTTAGTGTCTGTATTTTGGACAACGAGCTATGTTGTAGTTAAACAGAGCCCCAAAGTCACCAAATACTCCCCACCCCAAATGGTTATGTAGTTCACAGAGTGCTTTACAAATGTGATGCTTTTTTAAAATATTTTTAAAAGATTTATTTATTTATGCATACAAGAACTGGAGTACAGTCCAGATGTGTGGGGGTGAGAGGATTCACCAGAGACAGAGCGGGGAGCAGAACAGGCAGACTGACTGAAATACACTGCTGAGGGGAGCAGCGTGTGAGTCAGAACAGGTCTGCTGCACCATGTGGGTAGCTCCCTGGCTAGCGCAGGAAATCGAACTCATGAAGCAGTGGCTGTGGAGAGCTTCATAGGTTGCATCTTAACCCCTTGAGCCACAAGGGAGGCCCCACAAATGTGATGCTTTATTTGACCTGTTTGCTAGGCAAATTATTACTCGGGAGACAATGGGAAAGTGGAGATTGGGTTCATACACAATGTACTTCTCTATCCTCTTAGAAAAATTATGTTCATAGATATAAATTCAGGGCAAATGAATTCTCCCTTTTAGTCTCTGCTGGAAATTCTCCATCAGTGAACTGTCAGTAGAGGAACTGACATTGATTGAGATTATATTTGAAATCCTTCACATTTTGGACGTAAGCTATTCTACATTTTCCAGTTCATTTAGCCAGCCATAGGCACAGGATATAAAACCTGTAGAAATTAGAACAGTTGAGAACTCTCTCTGCCCTTGTTCAGGTGAGCCTTCAGTTTTCTATATTTGTATTTATAGCAGAAAAAATTCTAAAGTTAGAAAAATATGAATTGTGGGCCCTCCCTGGTGACACAGGGGTTAAAGACAGCACTATCAAGCTATCACCAGCCACTGCAGCATGAGTTTGATCTCCAGCCAGCCAGGGAGCAACCCACACTGCGCAGCAGACCTCTCCTGCCCTGCCTGCTGCTCCCCTCAGCAGTGCATTTCAGTAGATCTGCTGCAATGTTCTGCTCCCCGCTCTCTCTGGTGAATCCTCTCACCCCCTTCACCTCTGGCTTACACCCCAGTTCTTGTATATATAAATAAATAAATCTTTAAAAAATATGGATTTTATAATTCTGGTGTTTATAATGTAACCTCTCAATGAGAAAAAATAAGTTGAGTAAAATTCAGGCCTTTCTACCAAAGCCACCTTCTCAAAGAGGATTTTTCTGCCATCCTAATTAAAATAACATACTCCACTCCTTGTGTTTACTTTATAATTTTTCCTAGGAACTTACTACTATCTAATGTATCATATGTATTATCTTATTTGTTTCCTGTCTCCCAAACTTGATTATAAGTTTGGTGAAGGTAGGATTTCTTGCAGGGGTACCTCTTTTTTAGATGCTTCAGGTACAGTCAAAGACCCATAATACTTTTAGATGCCCATGAATATGCTTAATTTCTCTTAAAATCAAAGAAAAAAGGAAACTTTCAGTTTGCAAAAAAAGTTTTCATATTCTTATACTCATCTTTATAATAATGTAGTAATAGAATATCATTTTAACATGGTTATTTGAAGGAAGAGACTCACAAAAACAATAACCATAATGTGACCTTGAGTTTTATATTTTTTTTACTTTTATATTATATATTCTTTTATGTTTTATACCACTCCTGGGTCCTAGCTTAGGGCCCGGCTCAGAGTATGTTCTTAAACATTTATTGAATGGATGAATTAATTAATACACTTAATTAGCTAGTGCATAATATGTTCAATAGCCAATCTGGACCTGATTATTGTGCTGTAACAACCATAACTCATTACGTCTGAGTGTTCAAGGGTGTTCAAACCAGAAAAGGTGGCATCCTTCATATCTGTATCTTAAGCTGTCACTTCAGAAACATAGCTATGAAGTGATGAGTTGTAAAAAGTGTTTCTCATTTAGCATTTGTATTCATGTCTAATGAAATGTAAGGTATTATGATTCTGTTTTATACTGCGGATAGTTCTTTTCTTTTTTACCCCCCCTTGGTATGGACTAGTTGCTCAGAAGTTTGCTTTGGGAGCTGATGGTACACAGCATCATCCCAGCATGGTGTCTGGAGCCCACCCTACTTGCACAGCCCCCCCACTCCGCTCCCCGCCTGCTGAGACATTCACCCTGCCGAAATGTGTAGCATGTCAGCTTAGTAATTAACATATGGTTTTCAGAAGTTCTCACAAGTCTGTGTACTCAAATCCACTTATTTGCTTTGAAGGGAAATACTCCAGGGCATTGTTTTCATCAAGCTCTTGAAGAGAAGCCAGATGTTTCACTAGAGGGAAAGAAATTACCTGAGGCTAGTCAGCCAGAGCCACACTAGGGCAAAACTGATTTGCCTGACATCTCACCTTTGTGAGATGATTAGGTCTGTCTAGTATGTCTGTGCTAATATTAAGTAACTCTTCTAGAACAGGTTACAGGTATTTGTTCAAGGAAGTTGGAAAACCCCATGATAAAATAGTTATTGGACCCATCTCTTATTTATGACTCATGTGCAAAATTTCTAGAAGTCCAAATAGCATGAAAGGCAGATCAAGAAATTCATATATAGGGCCTCCCCTGGTGGCGCAGGCAGATGAGCGCAGCGCTGTGAAGCTGTCCACAGCTTCTGCAGTACCGTTTGGATCCCTGCCGGCCTCAGAGCAACCCACATGGAGAGCAGACCTCTCCTGTCTCACCCGCTGCTCCCCTCAGCAGTGTACTTCGGTCCTTCTGCCTGCTCTGCTCCCCGCTCTGTCTCTGGTGAATCCTCTCACCCTCCCGCACATCTGGCCTGTACCCCGGCTCTTGGATAAATAAAATAAATCTTAAAAAAAAAAGAAATACATATATAATGAGACCCACAAAAATAGTCTATTTACACATGTAGGGTATGAAACTGGCATATTTGATTGTCTTGACTCATTTGCTTCACCCACCCTAGATTCTCTCTGCTGATATGAACACATTTTTTAAAACTATAATTATTACAGTACTCCCTAGACGATGTGGCTTAGCAACAAACTCTAACAAAACATCAATTGTAAAACAAATGTTGTTTAAGTTCTCGAAGGAAAAAAAAGGTCTTGTTTCTCCTACAGCTTCCTGAAAAAACTGGTATTTATTGGACATCAGGCTGACAGTCTTGTAGTCTTTAAGACATTTTATTAGGAAATCCCCAGTCTGTCCACACATATTCAACACCATAAATTTGCTTTTGTCCTGTACCTTTCAACTATATAATAATGCAGGGAAGTAAGTTATTAATATTGTCACCAAAAGGACATCATTGCAGCTACTCAAATATTTACAGAGGAAGTAAGTTCTTCCTGAACTCATTATGAACCAAAGGTCTTCAGAATAGAGGAAATGTATTTTTACACTTAGACAAAGTGCAGAATATAGAAGAATATCATGGGCTAACGGCAATGATGATAATATTTTGGTACATTAAGTGTTTCTTCATTCCTGCACCTCTTCTCTCCCTGGTGGAAACCCCAAGTTGTTGCTCATCAGAATTGAAGAGGACAGGGCAGGAGAAGGGATCAGCAGATTTAAAAGTGAATCTGCCTGAGTCCGCATTTCTGCGGATTTCCCTCCTTCTTTTGGGGGATGGTTGCAGAATAGGATATTACTCAGAACGTCATCTGAAACCAATGGCATCAGCTTTTGAGGATGCATATTCTCAGATTCTACCCTCAGATGTACTGATTCAGGATCTGGTGGCAGTGCCCAGGGATGACTCACATGATCTTTACAGTTTGAGTCTTTTTGGTAGAGTTTATATTTGACTGAAGCACAGAATCTAGAGAAAGATTTTAGCTTTGTTTTCCTTTCTAGCTCTGTTGGTTAGAGAGAGGGAGCCTCAACACCAATGCCCTCCCGCATAAAAAAGAGAGATGAGTAACATCATGGAGAAAAGACAGAAATTCTGGAAAAATTAAAAAAAAAAAAGTATTTCTTGAGAATCAGAATGAATAAAGTTATTCAGGCATGTGCTACTTCTGTGCACTAAAAATAAAATTCTGCTACTTGTGAGCATTTGAGGTGACTAGCAATTATAGGGAAATTCACATGACGTGGTAACTCTTAGATCAACAACATGCTTCTCTCATACCACAGGCTCTTCAGGATGCCTTGAAAATTGAGAGTTCCCCATTTCCTGAGCACTGCTTGGGAAAGTCTGAGGAGTGCAGCCACAAGGAGCTGAGAACCGAAATGGAAGTTCTCAAACAGCAGGTGAGATGTTGACAGTGGCAGACGGTGTAAGGACCATAGGTCCCATTCCTCATGCTCCTTTGAACATTTTTGGAAGCCTTGGCATCCAAGGGTTTTGCATTTATTTTCATTGGAATTACCTACTGTTCAAGTTTGACCAGAGGATGTAGATCAGTGAGTCCAATTCACACTTTATTGAGTATCAGATGGATTGTATGGCTTGCTTAAGATCACACTGTTAACAGAGAGGCATATAATTAACCTTTCAGTGAGATTCTATTAGTACTGAGCTTAGAGAGTTTTATGTAGACATTAACCCAAATTCTGGGATTTTCCAGAAAGTTGTGGCAAGTGGGCTGTTATTCTGTAGCTATAGACATTCAGACCTTCAATGAGATCAGTTTTAAGGGGAATGCTATGCACTGACTATAATCACTGAAAAACAAAAACATTGAATCTACCTTAGACATCACCAAGCAGTTCATCAAGGTGTTTTCCTCTTCCCCATCTGTTGCCAAGGGGACAGTATATACAGAGAGGACAGGGTATCCTCCTAAGCCTCTGTATGTATCAGCAGCATAGTGCTTTGGGGTCATAGCTCTGGCCACACTACTTGAGTGTAAATTTAGTTCAGCCGGCAGGAGCTGGCTTAGCTGAGGGCCAGCCATGCATATCACATGCCTTCTCCTGTGAGAGGCTCAATAAACTAATGTAGGTAAAGGCTGGAGTAGTTCATGGCACTATCGATGAATATAGGCCACATCTAGGAATTCCCATCCCTGAAGCACACACTGTCAGCTGCAGATGAGTCATGGAAGAGAGGATGTCATAAAACAAAGGGTTGGAAAGTATTATTTTTCAGATATCCCTGGGTATAATTTATTAGGTGTTTTGCTCCAAGCAAGTGCCAATTACAAGGATTCTTAATGCAATACACAAAAGCATTGAGCAACTGTGTTATGGTTGTAGTTATTTCCTTTATATATAGGAAATAGTCTACCTAAAAAATTTTTGGGAAAGTTGGATTTTCTCTTCTATCAACCCTATTTGTAGAGTCTATTTCCTTACATTCGGGATAAACTTCTAGTCTAGTTTCCTATCTAGTTAAGATAGATTGCACTGTTGGTGATGAAGTTGCAATGTGTACTAGGTTAATAGATTTCTAATGTAAGTTGTGATTTGAATTATGGTCTTAAAGGAATTCCTTTGCTTCATTCCCTAAACTTCATTTGTTTTCATAGTTACAAGTCATTAGTCAACAGGGTACCATTTAAAAACAATCATAAAATTGCATAGTTGGCTTTTTTTTTTTTTTTTTTTGGTTTAGTTACTCTTCTGCAATATTTGGAGTACCTCTCCAGAGGTATTCCATTAAAATATTACTGTTTCTTTTTTAAATTTGATATACCTGTCAAATCACTGGGGTGAGACTTATGAATACCTTTCAACCATCACTCTGTGTTTTTCCATACATAAGGCTTTCCTTTCTATTTTGTATTCAAAGTATTTGGAGACTTTGGCATATCAGAGTAAGCTGTCTTTTAGAACTTCAAGCTGTATTCACACAAAACAATGGCACTTAGTATTGTCATTGTTAAGTGTCAATTGTAGTTGAACATCACATCACATCCACCACAGGGGATCCTCACAGTATGGAATATTTTGGAACATGCAGCAGAATAATGGATGAGGGGAATATTTTCAAAATGACTGTTATTACTATACACCTAAATTCCTGATACATGCTGATGGAAGGAAAAAAATTGAGACCTTCCATTCTCCATAAAGTGAAAGATAAAATCATTGCCCTGTATGTCAGGATGGAGTCCCACTTTGAAGAAATATTCATGAAAAGAGGATAGAAATGTCTCGAATAGCAAAAGCCCACTAGCACCTCTCCTGAAATCATTTAAATGTCTTTGAGAGGAGGCAGCTAACAGTAACATCATGTTAATATTTCCTAGGTACAAATATACGAAGAAGACTTCAAAGAGGAGCGATCAGACAGAGAAAGACTTCATCAAGAGAAAGAGGAACTGCAACAAATAAATCAAACTTCCAGATCCCAGTTGAACAGGCTGAATTTTGAGGTATAAGTCAAAACCAAATACTCCTTAGCTGCACATATGTAGTTTATTTTTATTTTATCTTTTTTAAAAAATCAAGAATTTTTGCCTTCTTTTAATTGACCTTGGATGTTTTTTTTTTTTTTTTTGAGAGGTTAACACCCGAGATGAAATCATTCTTAAGCAATCTTGTAAGGAATTGAAAATGACGGGAGATTTCTTTTAACTTTAGTATATTAAGGAGTTACCCAAGAAATAGGACTCCAGAGTTTTTTCTAATAAAATCTATTTCTTTTGATCTGCTTCTCATAATATTTATCTTGCTGGAATGGGCGTGGACCTACCTACTGTTGAGATTCATATCTGAAACATTCAAGTACAGTGAAGCCATTTCTAAATTCTTGTCATTTTTTTTTTTTTTGATGGGCAATGTTGAATGCTTTCCAAAAACACAGAAATTTCTAAATATCAACTTATATATCTAGTGAAACCAAGAATTTTATTCAGTGGATTCCTAGATTTAATGTAACTGGAGCAGTCTTCAGGAAGGCAGATAACGCTCACCACTTTACTAGGCCAGAACATAGTAAATGGAAGCATACCCAAATTAAGTCTAAGAGAATATATTCAAAGTAGACTCAGGAAGTTGCCTCCATGGGTCAATATTGATGTGAGAGAAGGAAAATGTAGCTATGCAGTTTTGGCTTAAGAAAATGAACCACAAAATTGTTGATTTGCAAAATCATGCAATGCTTTTTAGTAATAAGAAATGGCTGTGGGACACGCTATGGCAGCCCAGTAGCCTCAAGATGCTTAGTTTTAGAAGAAATTTTAAACTATTTGTCATTTTCCTCTTCCTCATACAAAATAGATTGTGAATTAAATTTAATTTCTTCTCTGACATGTTTTCAAAGATCAACTTGAAGTTCCTAATTTTACATGGAAAAATTGACAGTCTTTTTTTTCCCTAAAGAAATTAAGTGGGATAAAATATAATAAAATGCTTTTCTGAAAATAATTCATGCAGCCTACTTATACAATAATAAGTGAGAAAATGTTCTGATTGCTCTTGATGAGGAAATCATTCTCTTGATTTTTATGTCTGCACTGTAATGCTACCATAATTCCTTTTAAGTTGTCATTGCACAAATTATCTTACCACTTGTCATATTTTAATTTTGTTCACTCTATTACATTAAGTTCAGATTAGGATAAATTTCTAGTATTGGTAATATCCTTACAGAAGTTCTAATATAGCCAGAGGAACATGTAATCACCTACTTACAGCCTATCATCCGCAAGTAATTCTCATCCCTTTGTCATCTGTAAAGTAATTTCTGATGGATATCAACAAAATAAATGTGTTAGCTAAGAACAATTTGGTGTAATTATGCTTATGAGGAAGGGACAGTCTTAGTGGGATCTTAACACTATGAAAATTGGAGCAAATGATTTGAATTCTTTTTAATAAACAAATGCCTTTGTTTTGTTCATAGATCAAAGCTTATCAGAAGAAGAATGAAAAACTAGAAAAGCAATTAAAACAGGTAAGCTGATCCTCACCTACATTCACCAAACCCCCTCATCATAGTTGAACCAACAACTTTTAGCTTCCCAGACACATTTATTCCCAGGTAAAGCTGTCCCTCATATCCCAATTAAAGAATATTCAGGTTCTCCTGCAGGTGATCTAGAATGACCCACACTTCTAGGCCTCTTGACCCTCTTTTCACACTCCTGAAAGACCCAGGGGGTGTGTCACCAGGAGCAGGAGCTGACAGTGCAAACAAGATTTCTTCATAGCCACACAAAAGCCTGAGAAATACTTTTCCTTGGCATTTCTTACTGTTGCTCACATTACTCTACAGGGGAAAGCTACATCCAAGACGTTTGCGCCTTTTGAGAAAACAGAGCATGTTGCACACTGGAGCATTCTCTTCCCTCAGTCTTAAGGGATGAACATTCTCTCTCTTGATTCCTAATTCTTTCCCTGGATTTTAGTTCTACCAAGGGAGTCTTTGGTTGCAACTTAAGAAAACTTACTTTATGGCTCAATGGCTTCTTTTTTAACAAGGACCCTCTGTGGAGATAACCTGGGAACATAAAGTTAACTCTCTTCCTTTCGAGTGCTTTGAATTTCTTTAAAAGGGAAAAACAATAATAATTTCCACTTAAGTAAATAAAATTCGGCCAATGAGCCTCATCTTGACCAGTCCAGAGTCCCCATGGATAGGCAGCTATTTTGAGTTAGGACAATGCAAGAATCGAGCTAACCCTTAGGATGTAAACCCAAGCTGTGGTTGTAAAGCAAGTATCAGAGTGAATCGGCAACCACCTCTGGCAAACTGACAACATTGTTCTCCTCAGAGGGGTATCTCAGCCTGTAAGTGCGTCTTTGGTTTTCACCACCCGAGGGACCCCAGCACACCGCCAGGGCCTGGGGCCAGGCAGGAGCCACAGAAGCTTCAGGTAAGTAAGAGCTCTCATTTCAACAGATAAATGCTTCGTATTCTCTTTGTATAGGAAACTCTGCCTGTCTCAGTGTTTGCGCACAAGTATTGCCTATTTGATGTCAGTCTCTAATGTGCTGGGTATGCTGGCCAAGTACTCTGGATTCATCTTTGGGACACTGTATTCACAGGATTTATAGACATGAATAAATTGACTAAAGGGTACCAAAAGGAGCTATAATTCTTTGACCACATAGATAACATTTTATCGAGATCCTTCTTCTCACCATACCTAATTTAATAAAAAGGCATTTTTGTGCATAAAGTGAATACAGATTAAGAGTCCCAGAGATGTTTTATTCACTTGGAAATGTATACTGAACAACTGGGTATTGCTACATCTGTGCAACAGTTCTTGATGTTTTCCAACTGGAAGAATATTCTTAAAGGAACCCAGTAAAGGAGCTTCCTTGAGTTGCCTTCTATGTCTGTGTCTAGCCAGGCAAAAGCAAATGAATCCTGGAGCAATTATCTGTGAGTGGAATTGATCTGGATACTCAACCTGAATAACCTGCTAAGACCCAAATCTTCCTTTCTTCTTTACTCTTTTCCTTCCTTCCTCTCAGGAGCAGTGCTTTACATGCTCCCCTCTCTCCCAAGGTCTCGGTACATGTCTTCACTCTCTATTTTGCCTACACAGACAGAACCTTTATCCAGAAAAAGAAAAACAAAAAACAAATGACCCATTTGTCTGCACTTTGGATTTGCTCAAACAGACTCTCCCCCTTCCACACCCCACCCGGCCCTTTGTCTTTCTTAACTGTGTTTCTAATTATGCAAAGAATCTGAAATGTTAACTGGGTTTTTCCAAGCAGAGCTCTTACCGACAGGAGGGCTCTCTTGCTTGCCTGTCACTTCCCAGAATTTTGTGTTGGAGTGTGACTCAGGCCTTGACCTCAGGGATGTGACGACCATTGGGTAGAAAAAGGTGTCAGGATAGAGCGGGCATCTCTCGCTTGCCCAGGTGTGACACAGAACACTATTGAGAATTCTTCGGTTCTGGTTAGGTTGCTGCTGGCAGCCACTTGTGTCTCCTCTCCCTCCCTCATTTCCTTTTTCGCTTTACCTGTTTGCTTACTTTTCAGTCTTTACCAGAAACATTTCTGCAAATCTCCAAATGCAGTTATTATTCCTTAAACTTAATATTGTGGGAATTTACTTTGGAGTGAGCTCCTACAGGTGGGGAAATTGGAGAAATATTCTTGTAAATGGTTAACTATAAAACCAGTGAATCATTCAAGTTTTTCTAGGAGTAAAAAAACTGTTTCCTTTGAAACTTCATTTATGGGAAGAGGGGTGAAGTTCACCTACTAAAAGAGCTCACCAAATTTCCCTATCAATTTCAGGGGGTGAGAGAGTCCAAATAAAGGTCTGTGTTTGAAAAAAGTTTCTGTGCCACGTCCAATGGCTTGTTTTCAAGCAGTGTTCATTTAAAGAAATCTTGGGATAACAATAGAATGTACCAAAACTCTCAGATTTAATTTTACAAGAATACTTCACGCTTATTTCTAAGCCTGAATTCAAGCACATGCAATTGTGCTTGTAAAATTACAGCATATTCACCTTCTTTTGGCAACTCTCCTGGAATATAAAACTGAGGCTCACGTCACTTATCCTATGTGTTATGTGAGACATCTAAAAATAAACGAGGAGATAAAAAACAGAGGTGATCTCATTTCCTCTTGGAGCTTTTTCATGGACTGAAAGGAGCCAAGAGCCTAGGTGTCTGAGAGTGGGGGCAAGGTGGGGTGTACTTGGGCAGCCCCTCTGAGTGTCCTGTCAGGTAATGGAACTCTTCGGCTACTTTCAGTGGTCAGGCAGCCCTGCAGATGGCCCCTGTTGGCTCATAGGTAGAAAATGATCCCGAGATATTTTCAGGAGGTAATTGAATAACAGAACAAAAGGTCTGTCTGCTTTGTATTTGGGGGGCGGGGGAGTAGGTGGCAGGGGTGCACATTCAGAGCAGGAAGACAGTCCAGCCTTGTGGGCAGGCAGGCAGGCAAAATTGAGGCTGTTCCAAGTGGTTCAGTACAAAGATACTGGCCTGAAAACTGTATCTTGAAATTCCAGTCTATAGTGTAGGATTTATTCAAGGCCATTTGTTTGACATGTTCCCTGATGTTCAATATCTAGCTGTAAACCTAGGGGAAAAAATCCAAGAGAAAAATTCAAGCCAGCACTCTCTTTCCACTGCTTCCCAAGTCTCTCCTACCTGAGCTGGTAGGCTCTGCAGAGAAACAGGAAAGGGGCAGATCTCCCTGCCTGAGCTTCTATAAGCCACATCCCCAGTTAATGGTTGGCATTTCTTCCTGAACTTGTAATTTCCACCCCCACCCCAGGTCTCTCCTTAGCCTCCTTGTGGGAGGGCTTTAAAAAGAGTATTTGTTGATGGTAAATTGCTTTGTTTTATTTATGAGCTATAGTAAAATTTTACAAAAGTGTTTATACTTCTGCAGTTATCCAAAACACATCTGTTTGAAGAAAAAAAAAACATGTCATAACCCCAAATTAGTCGACATTCTGGCCGAACACAGAGTGGGTTTAGGAGGGGTGGAGAGACGTGGTAACAGTGCTGAGGGAGGTAAGAGAGATGCGCAAGATTGGCAAGAGGCTTGGAAAGAAACTACCCTTGTGTTGCCTGCGTAATAAAAACCACACAGTATATTATTATTAACATAGCCCTGTTTTGTTTGAAGTCCATATTGCTATAATAATGTTTTATTGTTCCACGCAGCCAGACTATCAGTGGTATGCTCCTGACCAGTTTCCGCCAGATGTGCAGCACAAGGCAAATGGTAAGACCACAGCTGTACTGGGCATTCTTTCATGTTTACATTTTAATGGGATCTTGGGGGGATGTTTACTCAGCGTACATTCATTCATTCTCAGGGAGGACCTACTAGAAAGTTGTGTTGCGTACACATCTCTAATTTGATGCATCTGGGGTTAAATCAAACTCCCGAAGAAAGAGAAAATGTTTAAATGCAGAAATGCCTGAATCTCAGTCATGGCTTCTGTTTCTGGTCCAGACTCGGAGTCAGTATCCCATCTGGGGTAGAAATGAAAACTTGCAGCGGAGTTGCATTATAACAGTGACACAGGGCTGTGATTCTACAACCTAGGATGATGTACACCCGCTCTTCCAGGTTAGGTTTGCTGGACAGATGTTCTAAATGTCACGGGCAGACAGACAGAGGAAATAACAGGCTCTAAAGTACGTTCCCTACGACTAAATGTCAGACTCCAAGGTTAGACCAGGATTGCCCACAACACCCACGTCCGTGCATGCGGGAAAAACTAAAAAGTCAGCTATCAAGTGCTCATGTCTAAGAGTCCCCTTTTATCTTATTTTTCTTTGGTTTCCTCATTCTCCTTCCCTCCAGAATCTGCTGTACTTTTTAACTTCTTGTTACTGTGTGTCATAAGGCCCCCCAGGCGTGTGCTATATCAAAGGGGCTATGATCATAATCCCACTTCCATTCTCATCACCTCAGATCAATGTCAGTAATGTCTGCTCCATGTATAACGTCAGAGCAGGGCCCACAGCTGTTGTAAGTGGTACATTTCCAGAGATTTCAGTCTGTCTAGAAAAGCTGAAGATGAACCATATTCTAATTTCAGGCTATATCTGGTCTGATCTCATTTAGTGCAGAGCTGAGAACTTTGAATTCTAGTTTTTTAGTACAAAAGGTCTGTTACAGAGTGGAAGTGGGCACCTAGGAGACCACATGTAGCTTTGCAGGTTGTGAATTTCACAAGTCAAAGGGGCTCTTCAGTGTAATCTAAGTAAACGGAGCCTCCTGGGGTTATGAAGTGCATAATCTGGACAGGGAACACAGTCACCCTGGGAAGGGACAAGGTCATAGCTGATAATAACATCACAGAAAAGAAAGATAAAAAAGTGAGAACCCTATAAAAATATCTAGGTATTGGGCCTCCCTGGTGGCGCAGCGGTTGAGCGCTGGGTTGCGAAGCTGCCTGCAGCCTCTGCAGCCGGTTCGATCCCCGGCTGCTCCCCGGCCACCAGAGGAGGGTCCCACATGGCGCGCAGACCTCTCCTGCCGCCCGCTGCTCCCCTCAGCAGTGTACTTCGGTCCTTCTGCCTGCTCTGCTCCCCGCTCTGGCTCTGGTGAATTCTCTCACCCTCCCACGCTTCTGACTGTACCCAGTGCATGTATCAAACAAACAATAAATAAATAAATAAATAAGACATGCCTCTAGAAAATTAAAAAAAAAAAAAATATCTAGGTATTTATCAGAAAGTCATAGGACTTTTTCCTTTCCTTTCTATTACAAATACAGTCATTGGTTTGAGTGAAGCTCATGGTTTCCAGACATAATGGAGAATTTTATTAGAAAGACATACAATTAACCATAATGATTGTTGTATAATGTCTGTGTTTTTGAAATCCATTGTTGTGTAATAGCTGAGTTGCCACCCAATTATAATTTTCCATTTTCTATTGGTCTGGAATGAATATGAAAAATGTTTCTCCCTCCCTGGAGCTTAATCACTAGAAAATATAATTACACAGTAGAGAATTCAGTAATATCATAAAACCATTTATATACACTATGGGAATCTTCTTGGAGCAAAGTGAAAGAAGATAAAAATTACGTAAAATGGAAATAAACAGTGATGACCTTCAGAAGCTAAATAAATATGCAAAAATAGAATTTTAAACTCGGTATAGGAAACTGCTGATAGTGTCGACCAGGGAAGAAATACACTGAATTTTGATATATATATAATGATATATAAACATGTTGTGTGACAATGTCCACAGATTAAAATTACAGAAAAATTAAGCCCGTGTTATGTACCAACCTATTTTTAAAACATTGTTTTAAATCTTCATAACAATACTATAAAGTAGGCTTTTTTATTATTCCACTTCAAGATGAGGAAACTTGATTTAATAGCACATCTAATCACCCCATTAGTAAGACTTAGTCCTGGGATTGAATTCCAGCTACAGAACTCCCAAACCTGTGCTTTGAGATGCATCCTACAGTACCCTTGAAAACCTACCCCTCTTTCTATATTAAAACTTTCTGAAATGATAAATACAAAGATGAAAATGGGGGCTTTCACTTGAATAATGATATGACTAGTATTGAAACTTTTCTGATGTGTTCTTCCCATGAATTCACAGCATATATTGCCTGTGCTACTAACTGGATATTTAGAGTATCACTATGCAAGAATTACTATGTGACATGTGTATTATGAACTAATCTGTGATGGGCAGCACTGGTGAAACTGACAAGTATGTTATCACTTGAAACATGGCCTTCTCCATAGCAACCCAGCTCTGCAGCTGAGTGTGGCTTATCTGGAACCAGTCCAGTAAAGGGCTCATCACATTAGGGACACTATGGAAAGAAACCCTTACATGCCAAAATCTACCTGTCTGGCATTCCTGTTGCTCCTCAACTAGCTTCCAAGCTGAGGGTAGTTCAATTTCCAGCCTGGGTGATAAGAACTGGCAGAAGTCAGAATTACGCTTTTGCCATTATTTAAATTCAGTTGTGATTCTTGCTGCTTTTTGGCTTCATTTATAGTAACTGGAAACCTTCTTTTGATCTGCAGATCTAACCCTAGCGCTCAGGATTCTTAAAAATAACTTTGCAGTAGTGATTGTTAAGCAGATACAGGTTTAGAAATCTTTTGATTATCTAGATGTTTTGCTATGATAGTAGTGTTTTATTATATGATTATGTATTTATTCTCCACTTTTAAGACTGTATTATAGCCAAACTGCTATGTTTTCAGCTAAATGTATCAAAAAAATGTGCAATGGAAGGAAAACTGGGTGAAAATGTCATCATCTATAAATAAACCCATCTAAGTTTTGTTTGTGTAACACTTAGGATATTTTACTCATATTTAAATGCAAATGAACCTTATAGAAATGTGGATATTTAAATTAATATTCATTAGTATGTTGTGTATTATAGGTTGTCCTAGATTTTATTAATTTCCTATGACTCCTGACAATTTTACTTTTCTGACCCCAATACATGCAGCACTTTATATTTTTATCTTAGTCTCTTCCCTTATAATTATTCTTCTTATGGTAACTTAACCTGAAATAGCAGCTCTGGGATCTATATATTAAGTGGTTAAGAGAAGCAGCCTTGCAATTTTTGAAATGTAGAGTAATGGGTGATTACATTTTTTTAATTATTTAATTGTTTTCAGTAAAAATAAAAATCTTAATAATTTATCTATAACCATAATTCTGACTAATTTTAGTATTGTAGATATTTAACTCCTAGATATTTTGTTTTCTTAGTCCATCAGGGCTTATTACCTCAATTGATGTAACATCTGTTTGCAAAATTGTCCATGATTTAGAGTTACACATACCAATAGATCCTCATCTAAAATTTTGGAGGCCTAAGACAAGAGAATATGAAGAACCTCATGTATATAACTATGTAATCATTATAATCAAGCTGAGAAACAGAAAGTGCAGTCTATCTACCTGTTGACAAATATGCCTGGAAAGGCCAGAATAAACTTAGGATTCCCAGGTTCTAAGCAATTCTGTGCAAGAACATTGTCGCACAGCACGTCAAAGCCACGGCCAATCCTCTTCTCATCCACCTTCCCACTGTCAAGGGTCTTGGGTCTTATGAGTAGGTTGGAGGACAGCTAAGCTGCACATCCCATACATGCTCTCCACCCTGCGTACACAGCACCTGTTGCCCTGGCGACAAGGACCACATGAGGCTAGACACAGACCCACTTGAGAGAGAATTTTAGATTCTGCTTGGGGAGAGGGGAGCTGCCAGGAGCTTGGTCCAGAGGAAGACAGGGTCACTCAGTGAGGGGCAGTGTGATGAGAGGGGGAACAGAGCAGGGTCCTCTAGAGTGTGGGGGCCAGTGAAGGTCCCGCTAGGCAGGGACTGAGATCAGTAGGTACTAAGTGCCACATTAACCATTTCTCAGTTGAGCTATTTTCTAACATTCAGTTACTGTGACTATTTTAGAGTGTTTTGGGGACATATTGAAAATCAACTCTTCTTTCAAGAAGTAAAGATTTAAGTAAAGGTTTTCAAGTCTTTTGGGATTTGCTTGGCTTTCTCTCTGCATAGCATTTAAGAATAGACTTTTTATACATTAAAGTTCAGTGAATTGACATAGTTTACTCTTTAGAAACATGTGACTCTACAAAGAACATTTTAACCCATATCATCTGTTATCAGAATGGGATGTGAAATGATACCCATGTTTCTAGAAATTATGGTGGAGTTAGTATAACCTTGAAAACATGTCTGTTTCTTCCTCTGCAAAACCACAAAAGCCCATGTTTTCTGACCAGATTGCATGCCAGTCACTCTGTACCTTCCAAATTTTTCATATGGTACAGAGCTTAACTTTTTCAAATGAGCTGGAGAGCGCAATTCTTACATATTTGGAAAGGCATGACATGGAGGCATGTGAGATTGTGTTGAGAACAAACATAATGATTTCTTTACAATATAGATCAAAGCTCAACTATGATAATTGGCCTGTTCAAATGTCTAATAATAACTGGTTAGCTGAACACTGACTGGATTCATTTCCTAGGGCTGCCATAACCATTCCACAAACTGGGTGGCTTAAAACTTAGCCCCTCACCACTCTGGAGGCTGGGCTGCAGGTGCTGGCAGGGTCATATTCCTTCCAGAGCCTCAAGGGAGGGTCCTTCTTGTCTCTTCCAGCCTCTAGGAGTCCCAGATGTTCCTTGGCTTCAGACAGCATAACCCCCACCTCTGCCTGTCTCCTCACACAGTCATCTTCCCTCAGTGTCTGTGCCAAAGTTTCTTCTTATAAGGACATCAGTTGTATTAGGTCAGGTTAATCCAGGATGGTTACATATTAAGATGATTCTATCTGCAAAGTGTCTGTTTCCAAATAAGGTCTCCTTCACAAATACCAGGAGTTAAGGCAGCCCTATCTTTTGGGGGACACAATTCAGCCCATAATACTAACTATATGCCAGAAACATTTTAGGTGCCATATATGTAAGTCAGTCTCTCTTTCTCTCTCTCTCTCTATTTCTCTCTCTCTCTCTCTCTCTCTCACTTTCTTTCTCTCTCTCATCTCTCTCCCCACCCCCAATTCCCATGAGGTTTTTATAGCAACTCTAAGTCTATTTTTATAGCAACTCTAAGACTAAGGACACCAGACAGAGTTCTGAAAGCTATTTAGGAGCAATGTTAGCACTAGAGAGCTTCAGGGGAGGAAGGGCTTAGGGAAAAAACAAACAACATAAGAGAGAGCAAGAACCTTATAACAACCCTCTGAAACAAGTACTGCTATTGTCCCTGTTTTATAAATGTGGAAATTGAGGAACAGAGGGAGAAGGTGACTTGTGCTAGCCCACACACTATTTGTTGGCTAAACCATGGACAGACCCAAGCAGTCTCACTCCAAAGTTCACAGAGTAACTATTAAGCACGCTGGACATTAAGTAAATGATAATGGTGCCATAGCTTGCTTGTATTTTATTCAAATATAGGTTAATGTTCTATGTCAAAAGCTTATTCCTTTATTTCTCAGGTTGTATCTTTTTATAATTGTTAGTCTAATAGATATTAGATAGATAAGGCCTAAATGAGAAAAATGTACAGTGTCCAGACTAGTCATAATTCCACCAGGTAAAAAAGATTGCAATAATTCTCTTAGATGAGTGATAAAATTCTATAGGGAAGGAAAGTAAGGTATATACTACATAGTGTGCCCCAACTAGGAAGAACATTGAGTTCCCTTCTGCTCGTGCCTAAGTGTCCACACTGAGAGTTCAGCAGGAATGTAGACAGCAGGACCACCCCTAACCTTTCAAGCACTCTGCTGCACGGGTGCCCCCTCCCCTCTTAATCCCAACCAAATTTCAGATTCAACTGCTCTTTCATGTCCCTTGAAGATACCTCCTCTGCCAAGATCTCCTTGGTCTACTGTAGCTTCATGCTATTCACCTGCTCTCCTTGAACACAACAGCATGGAGCATCACAGACACCACTAACAGTCAGGCACACAGTAGGAAGTGGCGTTCTTCACCAACTAGCAGGGCAAAGCCAGCTCTTCTAGCACCTTCATATATCTGTGAAGGTCCCCCACTCAAGGCTCTTCTACCTTACCTGTGTGGGGACATTGCGACATCCCTTTACAGAACTTGTCTTTGCTTTTGTTAAGACTTCCACTCATCTAAAACATGGGGAGAAAGACCCAGCACTGTGTACCTATTTCAAAAAAGCATGGCAAAATCTACAATACAGTTAATTTTCCTTCATGTTTTAAGATACCTGGGGTAGATATCAGGAGCACATTTTTTTAATCTTCATTTTTTTATGATCTTCATTATTTTTAACCATATCATTAATTGCATGTATAGGAAAGAGAAAGAAATGTCAAACAGAGATAGCATGGGTCATGCTACAGAGTTCAGATATCAATAAAATGAATTCACTGGGTGTGTTTCCCCTTGAAATCCTTCTCTTTGGGGTTATTGAGAGTGGAGACTTAGGAAAGATGTCTGGGGTCATGTTCTTTTCTCTCCAAAAGCAAGCATTTAACATTAAAACCACAAATACATTACTGTGGATTGTGCCAGAAGAGAACTAGAATTGTCCTTACATCTCATATATTTAAAAGATGCAGCTTTCTTTAACAGAAATTTAAGGAGGGCTGCAGGAACTTCCCTCCCAAACAATATTACTCCTAAGTAAATTCTTTGGAACTGATAGCAAGTTACTATGAAGTTCATCTTCACAAACAGAATCATGTTAAATTCATTTGCCCCTGGTATGTGAAAAAAAAAGTTTTGTTTTCAGTGGACATAATAAAGGAAAAAAAAAATAGCTCTACACTGAGAAAGGGGTATCTCAACAGCTCCCTTAGGTGAGGTGTTTTAAACATGGAAAAGTAACTTATTACCTTCCAGTTCTCAAAATGTTTGCTTAGGACTCTTTGAAATACCACAGGACAGCAAGTATGAAGCATTTAACATGTGCTGAGTTATCATCAGTGAGGAAACACCTTATTTCTTTGCATTAATATGTAGCTCTCTTTGATTTTGTCTTCCTTGTGTGGCACTCAATCCTGTGGTATATTGGTAAAATATACCAAATTTTGTTATCTTGGTCTTCACAGCACACGAACACTTGTTAAGGACCGAGATCTTTCCTATGATTTTGGCCCTCAGGTAACCAACACCAAATTTTAACAGTAGTTATTTGGCAAGTTATCTTTCTGTAGGGGAGCTGCTGAACCTATTCCAGCATGCACAACTAACTTCCATAAAAATGCTAGAGCAAATCAAAAACCAAAAATATAAGAAGCATTCTAGAACATTCTTCTTCAGGCGTGATGAGAATGAGGCCCACGCTGATTTTACGAAAATGGTCAGCATCCCTCAACGTTTAAAATAATAACCCTTCATTTCCCATCTCTTGGTTTCTCACTGTAAGCTTGAGGGGAGCTCAGAAATAGAGTATTTGCCCACCTAAAAATGTACGGCAGCACTCTATTAGAAGAAGAGAAATACATCTTTAAGTTTTAATCTTAAATATTGTCCTGCTCTTTTTCCTAGGTTTCTCCTCAGAAAAGAAAGTCAGTCAGTAGAAGCCCCACTGGAGGAGAAGCACACAAGAAAAGGGCGAGCTTGGCAGGACACCCCGGTTTCTCTTTCCTGTGGCTTGTGTCTGTGGCATCTGCACTTCATCTGCTCCCTGCTCTGTGCCTAGCTGTGTTGCCTTTTGGCATGAAGAGAGGGGGAGGCTGTAAGAGCTTGAGATCCTGACCAAGACTGAGGAGCCAGCATTATATAACTCTTATATAACAGTTTCCTTGGAATGCAATTTGGCAGATGGATTATGTGCCACCCCTGCAAAGTTCCTCCAGCATTTTGCTCTGGGGTTGACAGAGATGATTTCAGCAATGCCACCTCGGGTGCAGTGACAGTGCATGTTCATGGAAGTATATGTTCCCAGCGGGAAAATTGTCTGCAGTTGTAAATTGCTAACATTGCTCCCATTATTTTTATAGGGACTCAATTCTTTCACCGGTTTGATTAGCTACTATTAGCTTTTTTCAGCATCACTGACCTCTATAAAAAGAAGTACATAAGCTTTCTTCAACTAAATGAGTGACTGAATCTTAATAAAATGTTAAACTTGAAACTGTTCTTCAAATAGATCATTTCTGTAAGATGACGAGAAAGACAAGTCATCCATCAGGAAAGACAAGTCCCAGTGTAATGCTGATGGCTTTTGCCGTGTTCAACTATAGAGCAGTAGTTCAGAGATACATGAATTTGAATTAAATCTGGGTATTTCCTTTCTAAGGGCTTCAGTAATAATGAAAAACATAACTCTGACTTCTCAAACCAATTCAAGTGGAAAATGAATACACTCAAATTTTATTGCAATTAAGTGACACAGTGGCCTGACAGATGTTCAAAGACTAAACAGATGGAAAAGCATTAACTCCATCCTTTTAATATGGATTCTGCCATATTATTTAATATGGATTTCCACTGGAAATCCTCTTTGTCAGAAGATACATCGGGAGTGTCATATTCTGGGATGTCTGCACTTCTAGAAGTATCTAAGGAAAAGCAGGCACTGTAGCTTAAGATGCTGTCACAGAAAACAACCCTGACACCCTAGCTCCAATTTCCAGAAGTCATGCTGCTTAATTCCAGTTCAAACTATTTTTTTTTTTCAATTTCTGGAATGGGAAGGTGAAAGAACCATAGGAAGTTAAATGCTTTCAGCTTCAGTTTTGGGCTACTCAAACGTAATTCTTGAGAAAGAATTATCCCTCTATTACAATAATTCTCCAAAGCTTTGTTTTTGCTACCACTTATTAAGGAGACAAATCATTCTTGGGCAACCCCTCCGCCTAAGTGAACCAGAAAAACAATAGAGTTAACAAGTCCGTGGCACTGAACAAGTTGGCAATTTTTTGTTTCATTCCCCTTCCCTCAAATCAGTGAAAAAGTTGTAATATCGACTTCCAAGAGTGGATTAAGTCTGCACCCCCCCCCCACACACACACACATACACACATCCCCTCCACACACAGAATAAAAGCTAGACATCCACACAAGTATCCCTCTATAGGTTCGTTCTAGGGCAATTCAACATCAGGAAGACATCATGCTTTAGCCATGCTATTACTATGACTGAAGCCACCCTCATACTAATTAGCAAGTTGCCAAAGATTGTGCAAATGCTAATGTCATGGGAAAAATCCAATTTAAGTGGGACTTAATTGAATCTGAACTCCCAGTGAGTGATGGCAAATAGGGGAAGAGGAACAGAGAAAGCCTTGCTCAGAGTCCAGCTGCCATGTCAAGAAGTCAGATTCCTACAACTCCGGCCTGAGAGGAGCAAACTCTCCTGTGTTTCCTTGAATCATTTGTTTGGGGATTTCTCTCTCTACTCATTATAAGGCCACAGCCCTCGGTGTGGCACTGGCCTCATTATTACACACAGTGTGTGAGGAGGAGCTGTGTCCCTTTGAAAGGAGGCAAAGTCATACCCCATGATCTCTCCACATCAGGAAATAAGACGAGACAGGTTCAAGGCTTTTGATGATCATGGAGAATTTGATCTTTGACTTGAAGTCTCATATGAAGAGAAAGGTGTGTTCACTCTGTCTTAGTTGTGATGTGAGGTCAGAAGAAAAACCAACCTTGGGGCGTAGTTAGGTCAGAGAGTGAGGCCAGCCTCTGGTTCACTCATGCTTTTTGGAATACATTGTGAATATTAAGTGTGAACTAACTTCCAGATGATTTCCTTTAATTTATTAATAGTCTGAGCTCTCCATCACCCAGCAGGAGGGAGATAACTATTCTCTTTGTTACAGACACATGATTAATCCATGCCACAGCCTCTGTCTTTTTCCTAAGATTTCATGGCAAGAAAATACCAGAGCCGTGATTGAAAACTGAATCAAACCACCCAGTCAGTTCTGTGCCTGCTGTAATTCTGCATTCTGGGTCACCAGAGCAAGTTATACTTGTTTTGATGGTTCTACGTGGGAAAAGGACCATATAAGTGTAATCATTTCTCGCAGGAGAGTGGTATTATTTGATGCCATCTCTGTATTACCACCGCACCGTGACCCCCAAACCTCAGATTAGACTGGATGCAAAATTCAGCATCTCGTCCCTGCAGTGATTTTCTCATGGTTTGTACAGTCTTTCCTGAAAATTTGTGGGGTCACGGGGAGAGACTGATCTCAGAGGAGACATTGTTTTTATTATGCTAGACAGTAAACCTCTGTGCTGTTTACTCCAGAAGGATATACTCATTCTATCCATAAAAATGTTTTTGAAAAGATAATCCAGAGGGAGATCAACCAGTGCCTCTGTTATAAGTTGTGCAAAATGGGGAGGATTCCAAAGGGAATGATCTCCCAGTGGATATTTGTGAATAAAATCACCATTTTTCCTAAATACTGTAATAGGGTTACATATACAAAAAACTTTGGGTTACATATACAATAACTACTTCATTTAAAAGTAGGATAATAGTTCCCATATCTCAATTTTGGATATATCCTGATATCCTCTGTGAATTATGTTTTAAACACAACTATTAGACAATATTGTTCCTTATAAATCTTTATAGTTTTTATCACATATGCATAGTCAAAGAATGACAAAAAAATAAATAGAAGATTTTCTGATCCTCTAAGCAGAGTTAGCATAATGGTCCATTAAAAATATCAAAGGGGGGGCCTCCCGGTGGCGCAGCGGTTGAGCGCTGGGTTGCGAAGCTGCCCGCAGCCTCTGCAGCACCAGTTCAATCCCCGGCTGCTCCCCAGCCACCAGAGGAGGGTCCCACATGGTGCGCAGACCTCTCCTGCCGCCCGCTGCTCCCCTCAGCAGTGTACTTCGGTCATTCTGCCTGCTCTGCTCCCCGCTCTGGTGAATTCTCTCACCCTCCCATGCTTCTGCCTGTATCCAGTGCTTGTATAAATAAATAAATAAATAAATAAATAAATAAATAAATAAATAAATAAATAAAAATAAATCTTCAAAAAATATATATATATATCAAAGGGGAAGAAGGGATTTGAGTCAAAATAAGGGGGGTGGGAATTGTATGGGGACTGTAACCAAGATGAAAATGCATGCATTATGCAAAAATGAAAAATGATGTAAAAAAAATACATAAAATAAAAAAAAGTATCAAAGAGGAAGAAGGAATTTTGAAGGATGAAGTTAGGAAATGGGTAGAGGCAGTCTGTTAGGAACAGGGTGTCCCAAGCCCCCAAGTCCATTTATCAGCCTGACTGAGAATTGCAGACCAGGAAGGGCCATCCGCCCCCTGCAACATGGTAAAGAGAAGAATGTGCAGAACACCAGCACAGTAACACAGTGCTAAAGCAACACACCAAAGCTAGTTTCAGGAAAGCAGACCAGGTTACCTGGGAGACTCAGTGGGCCTCAGTAGCCTAGGGGACCCCACACGCCCCAAACAATCAGCCAAAGACACACGCGGAGCTATTTAACAGCTGAACCCCCACTCCTTGCTCATTATACTCACCTAAGCACAAACTCCTTGCCCCATTAGAGGCTACCCACTTGGAACCCTCTACTGAGAGAGCGTTCCTGTTCTTCCTCTTGTCTATCAATGAGTCTCTTGCTTTTCTGTACCTATGGTCTCGACAATGAATTCTTTCCATGCTGAAGACATGAACTGAGAAAGCACTTACTGGAGTCCTCGGACTCCAGGCCTGTTCCCAAAACCCCGATTCACTTTCTTGGTTCCAAATATTCATTCCATCTTTTTTTTGGAATAGCACCTCTATATCCTCTAGGAAGTTTCTTTCCTTACTAAATGCAGTTTGATCAAAAGTGCCCAGCTGTCTCTCGAAGAAGGAACAACCATGTAGTATAAAGCAGGCCATCTGGATCATCCTTTGCTAGAATGAACTTCACACCAGCGAGCGTCTTGGGGAGGCAGGCAGTGGTGGTTCCCTGAGCCCCAAACACTTTCCATATTATAAGGCTTCCCTGTCAACCCTGTGAATAAGCCAGTATCTCTCCAAAATTAAGTCAATTAGTTTCTTTAGTGTGAAACAAGAATCATAATTACTTGCAAATGGGGGATATAAAACTTAGAGAGTCTATATTTACACATATATACACACATACTTTTCCTTAAGGTATCTTTGAAAATGGAAGGTAGTATGACGGTAACCTTATATTGTATAATTAGATCCATTTTAATTAGACAAGTTAAATAATTCAAATGTTATGCTTGCCAGTCTTGCACAACATTACTTTAGATCATTGTCCAGTATGTTTTAATATACTTGAAAGTGGGAAATGCCATGATTAAAAGTAAAATACAATTTTTCATTTGAATTTTCTCCTAAATTTGACAAAGTCCCTTAAGAAGATATTTTAATGAAGCAACCTTGGGAAAGGTTCCAATGAAACAAAACCACCAAAGCCCATGTCTCATTTCCTTATTTCTTTTTCTGAAGTGCTTACTTGCATATAACCAATAATTTACATTTTAATGGGTTGTTAATAAATAAGTCATAGGAAACAATTCCTTTGTGTAAGAACTATACCAAATGAATTATGCTTTAAAAGTCAGTGGTGGTGATGATATTTCTTTGCCAGCAAAGTTAAACTCTTGCATTATAAACTACAATTCATTCTGCAGCAAAATATTAATTCATATACAAAGCAGCTACTCAAACAGAAGTCAAGGAAAAATCCCTGATGGCTTTAAATTTTATGTGAACTGGTACATTACAAAATGTGGAATTGGTTAATTCTACACATACCCTGACTTCTATCTTGATCAATTACCTCTTGTGGATGTTATTATTTGTCAATATTTATTAGAGATTTACTTTGTTGACATAAGGTTGTATAATGTGCACAGTCATGAGTGACACAAAAGAAACAGAGTTTTCATTGTTAAGAAAAGTCATGCTATCAGTTGGGGAGGATGCACTGAGACCAGGGGAGACAGATGCTCTTTCAAATTTCTAAAATAATCCTATATCTTTCAATGTGTCTAGAATTATAATTTTCCTTATAAGGAGATAATCAGAAAATTTTGGCAGTTTGAATTGAGAAAACTAGTACATTATTCAGGTATTCTAGCAATATGGTGTTAGTTTTTTTAACAAAAATACGTTATTACAACAATCAGCAAAATCTAGAACCATTTTCCCAAAAGGACATAGATTTTATTTTTGTATTATTCCTAGTTCTATAAGCTGCTAACAATGTGACAAAAATTCATCTTTCCCTATACTATATTAACAGCTACTCCCAGAATACAGATTAATTACTGACAAAATTTACAAGTTAAAATGAATTTTTTTAATTGAAGGAAATAGAAGATAAATGTTTCTGACTTAACTCATTTAAGGATCTTCTAGTTTTATATGTTTTCCACGTGATTATTAACAATAAATGTCAAGTTTTGAAATTTACCTTTGGATACCCATCCTTGCCTCATTACCAAATAATTTAGCATCTATCACCTTCACATCCTCTACTTTCTGGGAAGAGAAGGTGTGTACAAGTTGCTAGCCAGGAAGATGAAAACTCATCAGGTAAAATTAAGTTTCTTTTACCAATAGCAATCAAGGTAGCTTAAGAGCTTTTATCCTCAAGTCCTGCAAGCAATATACTTTTACCTGAAGAGGTGGTCTTCAATATTTCTAAATCACATACAGTATTGTAACCCAATATTACCTTAATTAATTAACTCAAAAAACACACATACATAAAAAAATTCTACTTTTCCCAAGTAAGAACATAATGCATGTGTGCAGCAACATTTTGCAGAAAGATCACTGGATTTAGAATCAGGTATTGATGCTATTCCTGCCTGTACCAGATGTGACCATGAGCCACTGTGTCTAGTATTTGTGACCCTCAGTTTCTGTGCAAAGGACAATATGAAAAAGTCTCCATTTTTGTAAAGATCACAAAATCAAGTCAAATGTGTAATGTTTGGCGCTTGTGTGGAATTCCATACATTTTTTGCCTTCCTGTTTACTGTGCTGGTTAAAGAGATTTCTCCAGGGTAACAAACACTTCCTAAAGGATATTTGATAGCAGAGAGATAGGAACTGTTCAGGGAAGGAGTTCCTGTCCTTGTAAATGTAAGCAATGCTTTATCTGACCCAACTTTTACTGTAGGGCACCTCAAGACTTTTCATGTGAAATTGTCAATTGCAAAATCACACTGTGACTTGTTCCCAGCATGTTAATATTTTAAGTCACGTGGATAAACAGAACATAAATAGAAGTGACATAAAAACCTGATGCCTTTCAAAGGCTCATCTCTGCAAGACAGAAGCATAAAAAATGAGTATTCTGTAGTAAATTTAGATTATATAGATGCTTATGAAGAGATGAGACTAAACCCTCAAAGGGTTATCATATCACACATCACCTGAAGACACAGGATTAGCTTCAGTAAGAAGGGCCAGGCAAGGGGGAGGCTAGACATATCTGAGGTTAGGAAAAGGAATTATACCCCCTGGGTGGGTAGCAATTGATCCTGCTGGCACAGACATAGCTTCAGGAGGAACGGGTGTGATAGGCAATAGAAGGTGATTGATACAAAGGCAGACAAAGCTACATATAAACCCAGGAAAATACAATAAGGAGCAACAATGGCATTCAACTTGACCAAAAGTGGATTGAAACATGCAAATCAAACTTCATCTTAATCCAGACAGAATGAATCAGAAGAAAAGCTAGACACATTCTGAAAGACAAATTTATATTACAAACATATCATAAAATTCTAAAGATTCTTAGATGAGAATGTTTCCAAGATAAAAATAGCAACTGGTCTACAAAGAAAATTGTAGAAGACACCAGTCATTCCTATACAACCCGGCAAATAGGAAAATAATGGAGCTGTGATTGTCATCTTTTTGACATTACACTATATATACACTATATATTATACTATTCTACATATATACTGTATATTATACTATCCTGTGTATACTGTACATTATACTACCCTATATATAGACTATGTATGTTATACTATCCTATATATACTATATATGTCATACTATCCTGTATATAATGTGGCCTATTAAAAGCATAAATTTATAGTCCACAGGGGGGAAAAAACAGTATCTTTGACGCTCCAGAGTCTTTGACCTGCTCTTTCTCCCACTGTACTTGCCACCTTCTATCATAGTATGTCTATTAGTTTATTACGTTTATCATTCATGATTTTTTCCCTCTAGAGTATTTGTTAATCCCCATACCCCTCTAGCATATAATTTCACATGGGTTTGGATCTTGTCTATTTTGTTCCCAAATATAACCCAAGCCTCAGAAGAAAACCTCAAACATACTAGGACCTCAAGAAATACTTACTGAACTAATGAATACATATATCATTTGAAAATATTCAGTAATGAGGAGAACACATGTTAAGTAATTCACAGAATCACAGAATTCTCAGAATCAGATTTGATTGGAGCCTGAGCTCTCTTTAGTATAGCTAAATATGGATTTAGGACATTAGTCATTGGAAGATACCCTGATGCAGCATTTTGTTTGACACTAAGAAAAATTTATAACCAGTCTTCTAGTAGAAAATTTTCTTGAGGTTTACCTTTCATGTTTGTCAAGTTTCCAAAGAGAAGATTAAGAAGTTGTCTTCTAGCGATTTTGTCATGTGATTCTGGCTTAGTGATTTAATCTTATCTGAGACAAGATTTTATTTGCAATACAATCCAAAGGCAAGCTTCCTCAGCAATATGGTAGCAGCTAATTTGCAGACTCTTGAGCCAGGTTTGTTTATTTGTTATAGTAAAGCATCTTTACACATTTTCATTTCATATTGTTGTGAACTGCAGTCTATGACTTTATTTTGAGCAACTGTTTGGAAATTTTGAAATGATCTGTTCATTGTTTGTTGAAGTTTCACAGTCCCTTTGTTTTCTAATAAAGCAAAGCAAAACAAAAGGCATGTTAAGAAAAAATCTGAGATTTAACTAGCCGCAATCAAATAATAAACAGCCTCACCTATGATCTTATTCAGTCATTCTATGAACTTAAAAATTTGGCCCAGGGCCTTCCTGGGGGCTCAGGGGTTTGAGTGCAGCACCGTGAAGCTGTCTACAGCCTTTGCAGTGCAGGTTCCATCCCCGGCTGGCCAGGGAGATACCCACATGGTGAGGCAGACCTCTCCTGTCTCGCCCGCTGCTCCCCTCAGCAGTGTATTTCAGTCAGTCTGCCTGTTCTGCTCCCCACTCTGTCTCTGGAAATCCTCTTACCCTCCCGCACCTCTGGCCTGTTCCCCAGTTCTTGTATGTGTAAATAAATAAATCTTTAAAAAAAATTTTGGCCAACTGAGCATCCTTCATTATATGGAATAGCTATTTCTCAGACTGTTGACTGTTTTACCAAGCTAGTGCTGGTGTTTTGTTTGTTCACGTACATGGTGAAGTTAAAGGAAAATTCCTGAGCGAAACTACTCCAAATAGAACAAAATTGAAAAACTTCCAGCAAAAAGAAAACGATGTTTCAGTTCAAAAAAAAAAAAAATGTTTGCTCTTGAACTGTTACATGTTGTTCACGGTTCCTTGAGATCTTACAAAGATTTCTTAGATGGGAGATGTTTATTCTAATACCAGTACCAATTTTGCATGAATTCAAAATTGTGCAACTCCACATTTCCAAAAGTCTTTGCACCACATGTTTGTGATTCCTTAAATTGAACATTTCTACTTTTGATTGGGTATATTCAATACAAGTGAAGATCCTGTGATGAATTCAGACGCAAAGAAGAGTCTGTAACTCTGTCTTCTCGACCCAGAGCCTGAACATTTCTTTATCTTTCACACAAAAGAAGTGAGCTAGAGCCAAAGATTCTTAAAGCTTTCCATCAGTGACATGTCAATAGGGACTATATATTTGAACATAGATCCGCTGGAAGATTTCCAGTACAGATTAAAAATTCGGGTCAATTTTACAATTTAACTCATGATACATGTTTTTATACACTTACTTATGGACTAGAGTTGAAATCTACACATTCTGTTACTGTACTCCAGACATACCATATTACTCCAGAAATGTCCATTCTTTAGTTTTCAAACTTACAGAATAGTTTCTTTCTACTCTAAAATCTTAAAATGCTTTTGCTTCTAATGACGTCACATTGCAATATCATACATGGTCAGTAGGTGCCACCACTTAATACAATTTACTGGAAGGTGGAAATTCATTTAATGTCTATAAACTAATTAGAACAATATATTTATTCATTTTAAAGCATATTTACTGAAATAATGTTATGTTTCATGTGTGCCTCAATATGTCCTATATTACTGCATATACAATAGTAAATTCACTATTAAAAGTTCAATTCTACCCTTTACCCTATAATTATCCCTTCTACCAGATTTACCTGCCCTCTTACCTCTTCCCTTCTGGCACCCACTAATTTGGTTTTATATTCTAAAAGTTTACTTATGTTTAAATTATTTTATTCATTTGTTTTGCTTCTTTATGTAAAAGTGGTGTCATAAATGTAGAAGATCCATAAAGTAGTTTTATTTAAAGTAGAGACATTTTCCATCAGGAAACTAGAGAAAGTTAAATTCTGTATCCCTCAACTACATCCCTTGGAAAGATATCCAGGATTTTGCTGGAGTTTGTAATACCAAACTTGCTATTATGATAGAAGAGGCCCTACTAACTCTTGCAAAACTGTAAAATAAAAAGGTAAGGCTGTTTCCAAATATATTAAAATAAATCTCTCTTCTTCTTAAAAAAAAAAAAAATAATGGCCAAGGGTTATGGAAACCCACAGAATTTGAAGTCAGATCCCAATGTGAGCCCAGCTCTTTCCCACTCGCTACTTGCACAATCTTGAGCAATTTTATTTAGGCTTATTATTATTTTTTTAGCCACAGACTCCCTAGATCTTAATTGCAAGATTTACAAATCTGAGAAGGATTTAGGAAGATATTAATAATGTGTGTAAATCACCTGACACATAAGAGGCATTCAAAAAACAGTAGCAATTAGTCATAATTCAGCAGACTCAGAAATGACATTATCACCACAGCATAAATAGGGTAGTGCTGAATGTTATTATTCATGGTGGTAATAATACCATTAATGTTAATTTATTCAAATGCACTGTCAACCTAACATTTCAGAGCTTTACATGTCTACAAAGAGTTACACAGAGTGGAGCACAAGATTCCTCAAACTTGCATGCATTGAAGTTTCTCAGTAAGCCTGTCAAATACACAATTATTCCCCAGAGATCCACTCAGTAGATCTGAAGTGGGTCCAGATATTGACATCTTTGAACAAGCACCCAAAATGATTCTGATGGAAGTGAGCACGCTGGTGAAGCTAGACAGCAAAGAACACGACCCTGCCATTGCATTTCTCAACCACAGCTCTGCATCAGGCCTCCTACATCAGACTTCAAACTAAATTCTTTACTCGCTAGTTGGACCCTGCAAATCCATTTAGATGAGTTAATCTGGTGACGAAATTTGAGGGTAGAAGTGAACATTTAGTTCAAAATTCAAGGAGAAACAGAACTCAAAGCAAGGCCCTCCACAGCTCCCAGCATGAGCTCCTGCTCCCACACCACCGACTACCCCCAGGTCTGGGCATCCCTGTGGGTCAAGTTAAGGGTGGAAAAAAATGAGGAAAGAGAACGTTCCCCCTAACCCTACCCCGGGACTGGTGTACAACTTGAGCCTAGAGTTCCTGAGAGACTATTTCCCAAGTCTGGAAAAATTAGGGAAAAAAGAGCTGCAGAGATGACATCTTCATGTGCCTGCCTCAGAAACTTCTTAGCCAACCTGGACCTAACCAAGGTTAATAGGAAGGACCGTGCCCCACCACTGAGGACATCAGATTGTCAAATGCTACAAGCCACAGCCACCGTCAGCTGAGCCAGCCCTGACAGGTGGTTGCTGATCCGCAGCTCAGCAGGGGCATGGAGGAAGAGCTGCCAGGCACTGGTGCCTGCGTCCCTTGGCTGGTGAAGGGGGAAGTCAGGAAATGGATAGAGGCAGTCAGTTAGGAACAGGGTGCCCCAAGCCCCAGCTCCATTTATCAGCCTGATTGAGAAACAATTGCAGAACAGGAGGGTGCCTCCCGCCCCAACTCAATTAAAAAAGGAATGTTCAGAACAGCAACATAACAGCACAGTAACAGTGGGCACTTTTCTGGTTTCAGAAAAGTGTGCTAGGTAACGTGGGAACCCTCAGTGGGTCTCAGTAGCCTAGGAGATCCCCATGGGTCTAGCAAGGGAGACAACAATGAGACACCCAGCGGGCAAACCCCCACTCCTTGCCCACTGGACTTCAAAACACCTTCTTTTTGCCTCCTCACTGGCTACTCACTCAGGACCCCACTCCACTAGAAAAACTTTCCTGCCCTGCTTCCTATCTATCAATAAATCTCTTGCTTTTCTGTAACTTTGGTCTTGACATTGAATTCTTTCCTCATCCAAGACAAGAAGCAAGAAAGAGCCCACCTAAGGTCCTCAGATTCTGGGCCTCCTCCCAAAACCCCAATTTACCCGGACTGCCCATGCCGGACCACAGACCTCACGGCTTCAACTGTAGAACGTTATTGTCACGCAGTTCTGCAGCCCAGGCATGGGGGCTCACAGAGTTGTTTCTTTTGAGGGCTGTGAGGAGGAGTCTGTACTATGCCTCATCCCCAGCTTATGGGGGTTACTGGCCATTTTTGACTCTCCTTGGTTTGCAGAAGCATCACAGAGCCTCTGCCTTCATCTTCCCGTGGCGTTCTCCCCGGGCGTACAACTGTCTCCCTTTTTAAAGGACATTAGTCATGCTGGAGTCAGGGTCATCCAGCTGCAAGATGAGCTCATCCCAACTTTGCTAATTACACCTGTCATGTATAATTTCCAAGCTAAGTCATATGGTGAGATACTAGAGGTTGGGACTTCAACATATGCATCTGCCATAATTCAACCTGTATCAGTGTCCCTTTCTGACTTAACAGATAACCTGCTTGAAGGTGCTATGGCCTGAATGCTGTGTCCCTCCCCCAATTCCTACTTTGTAAGGTGACTGGCTAAGAAGTCTGGCCTTAGGGGGCGATTAGGTCACAAGGCCTCTCAAGCATGTGAGAAGTGCCTTATACAGGAGGCTCCAAAGAGCTGGCTCATCCTCATGCCACATGAGAGCAGAGTAAGAAGCAGTAAAAAGTTCTGCAACCCAGAAAGGGGCCTTCTCCAGAACCCTACCTGCTGGCTCCTTGGACTTCCAGCCTCCAGGACTGCGAGAAATAAATTTCTGTTGTTTATAAGCTACCCAATCTGTGGTGTTTTATTATAGTGGCACGGACAGGCTAAGACACCTGGTGAATACCAGAGAGGGGAACAGAGGTATGAAGCAGGCCTCTGCTGGGATTGCTTTTCCTTCTGCAGAAGTCCTGCCAGTAGGAAAGGTGAAACAGATAGAGGTCAGTGAAGGTCATGGGGCAGTGCGTGCTCCTAAGGTGACAGCACAGGGGCTCAGCGCTCCAGCCCATTGGAGAGGTGTCCAAAACCATGTTGAGAGAATCTCAACATGGCACCACTGGGCAAGACTATGTGATCTTGCCATTGTGAATTTTGTGAGTTCTGTTTCTGAACACTCCACACAAAAATCTTTTCAGATGTCCTTATAAATGTTTTAACAGCAAAGTTAAGATCGCCATGCTAAAAGTGAGGTTTTTTTTAAGATTTATTTTATTTATTTATACAAGCACTGGGTACAGTCTGAAGTGCGGGAGGGTGAGAGAATTCACCAGAGCCAGAGGGGAGAGGAGAGCAGGCAGACTGATGAAGCACACTGCTGAGGGGAGCAGCGGGCGGCAGGAGAGGTCTGCGCGCCATGTGGGACCCTCCTCCGGTGGCCGGGGAGCAGCCGGGGATCGAACCGGCGCCGCAGAGG